AACTATTGATTATAGAATATTGAAGAGTACCTATATCCATATTGAATTAAGTTTCAAAAGGAATTGCATAAATTTTTTAAACCATCCTGTATTTTCGTAAAACTTAATGTCTGATATACCATTTAGTGTACTACAATTCTTTCTACAAAATCACATATATAGCATTCATATTCACGATAGGTCATCAAATTCAATCGTGCCCTTTTATCCTAATCTGTTAGAAAATTATTGTATTAAATAATAAAGAATAAAGCATAGATATTTTTGTTGAGTTTAAAGTTATTTATAGAATTCATAACACGTGAAAATAACCTGTATGTAAAAAACCTATGCATAATATGTCTGTCTCATTGACTTCCACTAATAAGTGGTTAGGTCGAATCAAAATCAGTCAGCTAGAATGAGAATTTCCTGTTCTTTCTAAACCTGAATTCGAAATTTGTTTTTGAATCAAATTGTTTGATTGAGATTAAATCTGTGATAGAAGCCAAAAAAAAGGCATCTTTACAGAATTTTTCGTGTAGGCTATTTTATTAATGCTTATTAAAACCTCTCCAATCTAAACTATAAGAAAACCTTTCTATACAATAATATGTAGAGCGAGGTTTGATTTATAAAACGTTGAATTTGTTTAATATTGTAACATACTTCTAAAAACACTCGAAATCTATTGCATTTTAAATATCTACCAGCGGTTGATTAGAGAAAAATTCTGAATGTGAAATTAATAAGAGGGTCAAGTTCTTACTCTTACTGACTACTTCAAATTCTTTTCAGTGATATCTAGTTTTCCAAAAACAAAATGCGCGAACATGTTTTCGAAAATTTTTTCATGTAGTATTTCGCACAAATATCATTGTTTGGTTGCAATCAAGAATTTATTCTCAATGAACCAACTTTAAATTTGGAAAACAATCTGAATATATACTTTAGGCCAGCATGAAATTCTCATTCTGCTGATGAGTTTCAATTCTCTCTAATGTCTTATATAAATAAAAGAAAATTGCACATATATGTTGTACAAAGACATTTTGCATAAATTTTAACTCGAATTCTATTGTTAAAATTTCTTTTCTTTTTTGTTGTTTGTGAATAATTTAAATCAAATTTTAAAAATAACACTCATATTTATTTTTCATTATTTATTAGTCTGGTTCACTTTTACATGCAGCACCACTAAAAGAAAAAATAACTGATGCTGAATGGTCTCCAACAAGACCAGGTGTTTTCTATATATCAAAACAAAATGGTAGTATTGATATTTGGGATGTAATAGATCGAACACATGCTCCATCATTATCTCAATCTATATCAAGTTCAGCTGTAACTTTTCTTAATATAAAAGTTATTTCCTGTAAAACAAAATTATTAAAAAAAAATTAAATTTATATATTTTATTTCTTTTTAATTTTGATTTAGCTAAGCAACAACTTTTAGCAGCTGGAGATAGTAATGGCACACTTCATATACTTGAAGTGCCATGGGCATTACGACAACCAGTTAATCAAGAATTAAATTGTGAGCTTTTCTAAATTAAGATAAATATTTTCTTTTAAATTATACTTGTCATATAGTGGTAACAAATTATCTTGAACGTGAAACTGAACGACGTGCTTTTGTTAAACATCGATGGGATTTACGTGAAGAAGAAAAACGTGAAAAAGAACGTTTAGCAGCTATTAAAATTGGTATTGCTCCAAGTCATATTGCAACACAAGAAGAAATCGATATACGAATGAAAAATGAATATAATGAATTTCTTCAATTTGAATTTGGTGTTTTACGTGAAATGGGTTTACGTGATGAAAATGAAGCACCTGTTATTACATCAGCCACGACTTAAGTTATTCTTCTTTTTTTAGATGAAAGAAAATATGTTTTTTTAATAAAAAATAAACAAATCTGACATTTAATTAGTGACTCAAAAATAAATAGATAAGTTCATTGTTTGTTGATATTTAAATTATCAATATCTAATACTGTTTGTTCATTTGATTCCCATGGTTTAATTGCATCAAGTGGCCACCGAAGTACAAGTAAATCTGTTGATGATGCAAATTCTTCAGGTGCATTTTGATCTGATATTGGTGTTAAAATAAAATATTCAACTGAATTATCATCAGTAAATAATTCTGCTGTTAATTCTTTTGTATGTTGATATTTTTCTTTGGTAATATTTGAATTGTCACATACAAATTCATCTAATGATGGATAAAGTGATTGTGATGAAGGTTTCATATCAATTGCTGCTTGAACAGCATTTGTTATTCGTTCTTCTTCTTCATGTTCGAATGTGAGTGCCTTTAAACCATTTACAATGTCGCTTGTTGGCGATATATTAGCCATTAATTGTGGTACAGTGGACATTTTTTTAATTTTTGATGCTTGAATTTTATCATAAACTTCTAAAATTTTTGATAATGCAATACCAGTTACACCACCAAGAAGTTTTCCACCAACGGTGCCAACAACTCCACCTACTGTTGCACCAAGAATTGGAACAGGAATCAGAATTGTTCCAGCAATCGTTCCCGCTGTACCACCAGCAATCTATTACAAATAAAAATATGCAGGATATACGGAAAGTAATTAACGAAAAAGAAAATTGTTTATCTCTATTATAATTCTAAAGAATGTCCCATAAGTTGTGGACCTAAATGAAAATTAGTTTATATGTAAACAAAGAGTGATTCCTCGACAGCAATATCTATATGAATTTTGAGTACTTAGGACGATGCTTTAAATGGCATAGTATCCGATAATATTATCTCTTTTAGTATTAGTGAAACAAACTGAAGAAATATGATAATTAAACTTCCCAAATCAACTAGTATTTTTTTACGAAGTTTTAACAGACTATGATTTCCTTGTATGTAATGAAACGCAGCTATACAAAACGATAGGTAGTATCTAGATTGTGAGTATAGCTATCCTCTTCACTTACATATCCGGATTGTCACGTTTCTGCTGTTTATACCATTATTATTAAAAGTGATAATGTTAGCGAATAATGAGCCATTTAAAACATTTTCCTGATTACTTGAAGCTCAATTAGGAATAGCTACATATGAATCACTCTTTGTTTACATATAAACTTACTTTCGTTAAGATAGTAATAGAGAACACCCCCACATATTTATTCATAAATATAAAGTTCTCAAATACTTTTACAAAGTAGTACTATCAGCTTCGATACACCATCAAGTTTTTTCTTCGAGTTGCACAAAACAATATCTAGGAATTTGTCTTTAATTTTGCTTCATTATTATGATTTTCTAGTCACTCACGTCTATTGTTTTTACTTTACAAACATGTTTTAGAAATTTTAAACAAATTAAAATACATTGATCTCAAATCTAATTATCTGTAAAAACCTTAAAATTGCGTCGGTTTATTCAGTTTACTTGCCATCAAAGTTTTTCTTAAGCAGCAAACGAATCATTTTGAAGAAATGTACCAATCGCTTTTGGTTGTTCAGACGTGTTAAAGAAATGCATGTAAATCAGGAGAAATCGCTCTGGATGACTGAAAGCTCACAATAATGAAGAAACCAAATTCAAGAAAAAAATCTTACATATTGTTTTTTGTAACTCGAAGAAAAAACTTCATGGTATATTGAACTTGATAGTACTATTTTGTACGAATATTTGAAAACTTTATATTTATGAATAGAAAAACTTGAAAATGTCCTTTACTATTAGTACAAAAAACTTGTTCATTCAGTAAAACCATAATGGATGTATGCAATTTTATTTATGAAAATGAAAAAACTTACAGTTGTTGATGCTGAAGTAATACGTCTAACAACATATTTTTTAAGTGCAACATCACTTAAAGTTCCTTTCTTTCTTGCATCTTTCTGTTTCTTGATATCGACGAATGTGGAAATAGATTCAACAGTAGTTAGAATAACACCAGATCCAAGAGCACTTAAAAATTGTCCAAATGTTTGAACACTAATCAATGCTACATCTTTTACTAATAACGCTGTTGGATCAACAATTAATAATGTTGCTGATTTTTTTTTAACTAAATTTCGAAATTTAACAACTTGTTCTGAATAATGTTCACCTGTTCGACACCATCTAGCCCAATGTTCACAATTATTTCCTAATAATGAATAACCACGTTTACCAAGTTGTGAAAAAGCTCGTTGAAGTGTTTCTTCATTGGAAAAACATGGAATATTATCATAATGATGTAAATAAACATCTTCAGTGGTACTTTTTACATTAGCTCGCCAATCACTTTCAATTATAGCAGCTATATAGATTGAACCTTTCATTAATGCAGTACGTGCATGTTCTAATGTATTAAAATAATGTATTACATGAAGAGTATTTGCACGTACTTCACAAACAATACCATGATGAGCATAATAAAAATCTGTTTTATAAAAACTAATATGATCACCAGGTTTTAATTGATTGAGATCTTTGATTTTTTCTTTACGAGTTTTTTGTACAGGTTTTTCATTATGAGTCAATACTTTGACAATCTCTAAATATAGAACATAGAAGAAAATACGCAGATGAATATATCAAAAATATTTACCTGTTAATTGTTCTTTAAAATGTGGTACTAATCGATGTCTATCGACCATATCTGAAATGCAAAACAAAACAACGTCGCAAAATCCGCTATCTCTTGAACTATTAGGAAAAAAAAACCATATGATGTTTAGTATTTGCCGTAAGTCTGACAAAATTTCTGCCAAGAAAGAAAGAAAAAAAAAAAGAAACGAGTCATTCAGTCGTCAATACCATATTCACTGATATATTTTTTTTCTTTCCTTGGCTTTGCGCCCCAGCTTTCGGTATATGTAAAGCAAGATAGCCCTATTTTATGTTAGTTATTTTGTCAATCCTATGATGATTAATCATCAAAAGACAGAAACGTTGTTTTATCTTGTGTTTTAGGCGTACATTTAATTGCTATCGATTTAGAAAAAGAACAACATTGAATAAAATATACAAAAAAGAGAATGTTATGAAAAACAATTAAGTTTTATTATCACTGCCATTAATTGCATTTAATGATGATGATTCTGTTCCTCGAAAATCCGGTAATAAATCTTTAACTTTTAAACGCATTTCTGTCAATCGTTTTTCTCTTTCACGTTCTTTTCGTCTTTCCATTGGATATTGACGCCAAATAATAAATGTATTTTTTAAAACTCTTTTAATATTATGTTCTTTAGCTATATCATCTAAACGCCATAAACGTATTATTTCTGTTTGTGTATAGTCTTGCCATATTTTAAATGTTTTTATCATTAATTGATGCATATAATGTCTTTCGGCTCGTTCTTCAGCTATTTCTGTTTGATGTTTATATCGTTGCCATGAAGTAAAATATCGACGATAAAGTAAATGTTCATGAAATTCTAAAGCACGATTTGTTTTTATTTCAATATCTCGTCGTATTGTTTCATGCCAAACATTAAATGTACGTTGTACAATAATATAATTATAATGTTCTTCGGCTGTTTGTATTTGTTGATGCCGAATTAAAATAAGTTTTTTTAATGGATTTAATCCATAATGACGCATTCGAAAGAGTCTAAAGATCAAATATCTTTAAGTGTGTTTTTTATTTAAAATCGAAAATAAATTTTCACCTGCAATGAATATCAGCTTTTTCATTTAATAATCGTAACCGTTCTTCCCAATGTTTTCTTTCTAATTCACGTTCTTTTTCCAGACGTCGTTTTTCTCGTGCTTCTTCAGCTTTTAAACATTTTTCTTCTTCTTCTTGTCGAATTTTTTCTTCCATCATTTCTAGAAAACATCAAAACGATTTTTGGTTTTCTTTTTAAAGAATATTGTTTTTATTTTATTTTTCATACGTTGTACTTTAGCTAATTTTTCTTCTTCAATAGCTCGTCGTTTAGCTTCACGTTCTGTTTTTAATGCATATCGTCTTCGTGCTCGTTCTTCCATATTTGCTAATAACATATCATTTCTTGCTGTTGGTCGATCAGTTAATGTTTGACTGTTTGAAAATTCAATAAAGAAAACATAGAAGTATTTAAAGCTCGTCAGAAAAGTCAAATTTTCGAAAAAAAATTTGATTTTGACATTTATATCTATTGTTATAGTCTTGCAATTAACTTTAAATTAGCATTATTTTCTTATCAAAAAAAAGAATGTTAAGTTTTCCTTTGAAGAGTTTTTTCAGGAAATTCTCTAGTTGCAAAATATGAACTTGCATTTTTATGGAAAATTTTGTAGCTTTATAGTACGAAAATTAATGTCATGCAGGTTTCAGTAATACTGAATTGCTAGTAGATATTTAGGGTATGAGTAGAATAGAGACCTTATCTTTACCGAAACCCCAACCTACTTCACATCTACGTATGAGAAACCCTGAGCAGAACTCAAGCATGATTTGTACTTTTAAGAGCAATATGATATATTCGCATATACGCCATCTAGTAAAGTTTGATGAATAGCCAAGAAGGAAAAATGGGCACTTTATAGCTAAAGGTAATTTGGGCTCCTTAAGAATACTTCGAGCTAATTCAAAGTACTTTTCTGTAATTTCAAAGTACTCTTTCGTACTTAAAATATACTTTCGACCAAATTTTACCCTACTGTAGCTTACTTTAAGTCCGCTTTTTTCCTTTGCGAATAGCACCAAAAATATTAGGTATCACAGGTAGACTTATTTCGAATAGATTCCCTTACTAAATCAAAAAGATTGTTTTAAAGAAAAACAAACGAAGGGCAATGCCAAATTCGAGCTCTATTACGACCTAGCTCTATGTATACTCTACAATACAGAAAACAATCCCAACATATTAGCTGTTATCCTCATAATTGAAAATCTGGTTCATGGAAAGAGTACTTTTGACCAGTAAATTGTCTATAGCTCATAAGAATCTTGGAAATTTCGGGAGATATTCATTCATTTTCTATTCTAGCCAAGACTAATACTCTCTAAAATTTTGGTTGAAATCGGATGAAAATTTTTAAAAAGTTTATTTCTAAGGAGAAAGGCGCTTAGCATACTCCAATCGACTTGTATTTAATTGTTTTTGTAATTCTCCACGATTATGTGCTTGAATAAGAGCAGTTGCATGACGTCGATCAGTTATTAATTGTTTTCGTTGTTTTTCTTCCATTTCATTCTAGAAATGAATTTATCTTTTATTTCAAAAACAGCAGGAAGTTAACAAATTTTTTCACTTGTTGTGCTTTTAATGCTTCAAGATTTGAAATTTGATTATGAAGAGCTTGTTGGTCTTGATGATATTTAAGTTCTTCTATCATTCTTTGTTGATCTAATGGAAAATAATTTATTTTATTTATTTCAATAAAGAAAATAAACCTTTTAGTAAACGATTTTGTTCTTTAAGCATTTTCATTTGAGTATTATAACGATGTTCAAATGCGTTCATAGCACGTGATGTAGATTTATGTTCAGCCATTTCAAGACGAATACGTTTTTCGCGAATTTTCTTTTTACTTAAATCTTCATCACTACTTGATAATTCATCGAAATCAAGACGCATGCGACGTGTATCAGTTGGTAATGGTAAACCAGCACTAACGCTGCAAAACAGAAAAGATAGAACAATTATCTATTTTCAAAAGAAAAATATCTGCAGTTGATGTTTTCTTAATTGATTAGGAATAAAGAAACCTATATGCAGTAAAGTAAATATTATATCGGCAATTTCATTCGTTAGGAAATTGACTTCGCAGAATTGAAATGTGTATTTCTCTGGATTTTACATTTTTCTAGAATTAATTTTTATATATAATATGTGTTAACAATATGACATAAACAAGGACTTCAATCTGAATTGCATACATTCCAACTTAAAAGAAAAACAGCAAGGTGGAGCTGTAGTTTTGAAAACAAAATGGTATGTTTTCTAAACAACGGTTGATACAGTAGTGTATTAAGAAAATTTCGAAGCAATTGATGGGTGAAAACGAATCATCAAGGCTATTTGTGATGATTTCTAAAAGTCTTTTTATTATCTACTGCTCATATTGATATTATTTATTGAATGCAGTTGTATAACGTATGGAAACAAAAATCAGCTAAGAAACAATTCATAGAAACAATATTAGCTTTGTATTCTTTTGTTTTGAGAACCTCTCAATAACTCGTTTGATATCAATGTTAATTATGGAACGAAAATAGATCATTGCTAGCACATTCAAAAGATTCTCACTCATAGTACTTTCGAAGATATGATTCTACCAGTTTTAATGTTGAGACGCTTCGCTTGCCTGTGGACAACACGGATTGTTTCATTGTAATTCTACAAATGCTCATCATTTGGATAACAATCATGAAGGGGAAAGTGTATTTTTGATCACCAAATTTTTCTGAATGACGATTTTTTGTTTTTTCTGATGAAGCGCTTCAACAAAACACATAACGTTTCATCTATACTCAGCCCTGTTTCTTAAAATCAAACATACTATAATGTATGATCGAAGCAGCTAATGTATGAACGAGTTAATTATCTATGATCAAGTAGATAGTTATTGGGATGTGTATATTAATGGAAAAAGTACATGCATTTCTCATTTTTTTATCTGTCAGCCTCAAAATCTGACTAGAGTATGTAACCTGTCGTCAATTTACTTGATTCTTAATAACTATTGGGTGTATGTGTATGCGATATGTCTATGGATGAGAAAATGTTCCATACACATCCTTTATTGAGAGAAATAGTGCATAATAAATGCTTGAAAAATCTAGTGATCAAAAGAATCTTTTGTAGTTATCAAAAATATTTACACCTCGAAATAAAACTAATTAGAGGATGTATATACAGGGTGGCCCAAAAGTAACCTAACACGGACTTTTCTTCAACGGTTTTTTCTTTATGGAGTTATAGTTTGATTTCATACTTGAACCACAGATACTAGATGACAATAATCAGAGAAAGAGTCTATCATTAGCGTTTAGCTATAAGAATTTGTCGGAAAACATCCGAATATCTTTCGTATACTCTTATTTGATTGTCACATAAGTGTGTAGTTTTCTTGTAGTGTTGCGTTTCTATCTGTTGGTCTGTTTGCATTAAAATGCACAAGATGGTTTGAATTCTATTGATCTCTACTTTGTTTAAGTCTTGTTGCATAGAAAACTCATCAACAACGAGATATAATGAAAAAAGGCATTTACTTCAAATAGACAATAGCGAACTTATGTGACAGTGATATAAGAATATACGAAGGATATGCGGATGTTTTCCGACAAATGCTTATAATTAAATGCTGATGATAGTCTCTTTCTTTGATTATTGTCATCTAGTATATGTGGTCCAAATATGAGATCGAACTATAGGCCTATAAAGAAAAGAAAGTTGAAAAGAAGTGTGTTAGATTACTTTTAGATCTCCGTGTATATAAGTTATTTTTCTTCCCTGGAATCGTTAATCAAACAATACAAGTACTGCAAACTTGAAACTAGTAAAACCTGTACACTCTTTGTCTCTGTATATTTCATACAAATGAAAAAAATATTTTGAGGTATAATAAAAATAAATTTCAAAGGGGGTGGCGGATGCTACAAAACTTCCATCTGAAGTTGTTTTCTGATTGGGCTTAGATTATAAATATTCGTTGGATGTTGTGTTAGTGCTGCGATGGAATATGAATATATCACACAAAAAATAAATCTGACAACTGAATGAACAATTTGTAACCAAGCCCCAATGGTCAAAATGTTTCTCGGAAACCTTCAGATGATGACACAACAAAGGTTTATCTTTCGAGACATAATATGATCTGTAGGCAATCGGTTTGTAAGAGAAAATCTTTTAGAAATCAATTTCGCTGAAACTTTTATCATAGATGTAGTTCGTAGTGTAGAATCTATCGTGAAGTTTTCGCAATTTTCTCTTATACGGTTAAAAAATTATTTATTGATTACTTTTTTAACTAATTAATTTAAATTTAGTAGTAGCTAGAAAAGTTAACATTTTTATACATGTTTATCTTTTAAGAATCTCCTAAGATAAGCAACTCTTATAAAGATTCTAAGTCAAGTGAAAGATGGGTACGCTTTGTTTTTTACTTTGGCCGAAAAAATAAATCGACTTAGTTCTAGAACGTTGGAGATCTAGGTCATTCATTACGAACATTGATAAAACTTGCTGGACTAGTTTATTACAAATATACAAAAGTCTTCAAAAAATTTTCAATAAGTTCGTTTTGTGCTGAACATTTTGGTAAAAAAAAATTCTAATCTCATCGAAAAATAACGATGTTAGAGTTACAATACTAAGAATGCCAAAAAACCTCAAACTGCTGTAGATTTCTAGCATGATTTGATGGCTTTCAGTATTTTAAACCTAACATCGTTATTTATTGATGAGATTAGAAAATTTTTTGAAGACTTTTGTGTATTTGTAATAAACTGGTCAAGCGAGTGTTACCAATGTTCGTAAAGAATAACCTAGATCTCCAATATTCTAGAACTTAGTCGACTAATTTTATCATTTTATTTTTCTTTTCGATGAAGTAAATGTTAGAAAGAATCCAACTAGTGATTCGAATAGAGAAAAACATTTTTTTAAAATAAATGGGCACTCCCGAGAACTCCGAACGATCACTTTTCAAAATCTAGGGCGTGTAAATATAATTTTGTCTAGATTATAAAGAATGATAGAGTATAGCATTCTCTACAAAATGAGACATTGTTGAGTTTTCTATAACGTTTTTTGACCGAGATACGGCAATTCGAATGAAAGTCAAAAAATGGTTTTTCCATAGAATATTGAAAAAAATGCCTTTAAGGGTTTTCGTAAGGCGACTGTATCTTATTTAAGAAATCTCACAGAAAACTCGGCGATAGTTTATTTTCTAGAGAATTATTTGCTCTATCGCTCTATGTAATCTACACAAAATTATATTTACTTGTTCTAGATACTGAAAAAATAGCCTTTTGGTTTCCTAGAGTCCTTGTTTTTGAAGAACCTGACAATAATTTGTATTTTCTTATATTCTTTTTGGAAAAAATTTTCTTTGTTCGAATCATTTTGGATTTTTTCAAACGTTTACGACAGCAGAAAAAATTGAAAACTAATTTTGTTGAATAATTTTTGGTGCCCACTTTATATCGGGGTTATAGATAATCAAGCAATATACTGTTGATGGATATACCTATCTAGAATATTTCAGAGGAAAATGTTATGGATACATGTTAATAAAATTAGTCAGAATATAATGATGAGAATGGATACATATTGATAGAAAGTTTCAAGTATCAAAAGAATATCTAATTATTTTTCGAAAAATCATCTAGAAACAATTTATTTTTGAGATAATAAATCTAAACTTAATCTTACGCTCGTTGTGATTCTTCTTCTTCATTACGTGGAGATGTTATTTGAAAAAAATCATCAAGTTTAGTATCTGATGGAGTTCTTGTATGTAATGATGATTTATCACCAAATGTTACAGCTGAACGTGATCGAGTAGTTAATGAAGATCGACGAGTAGTTATCGACACTTTTCGTGCTTTTATTTGTTGAGATTGCTGACGAGTGGTTGTAGAAGCAGAGTTCATTGCTGTTGTTGTTGTTTGTACTGGTGTTTGTTGTTCATTGTCCCAAAGTTTACCAGTTGATGCAGCTTCAAGAAATGCATCAATTTTTTTCTTTGTTGTTTCTTGTTCATATTTTAAATTTTTAGCAATACGTTCATTACGAATATATATTTGCCAAATGATCATTGATCTTAATAAATATAAAATTAAAAAATGTTTATGATAAAAAAAGAATTATTTTATACTTTCGTAACAATGTTCGTTCATAATGTAAACTTGCTTGTTGCATTTTCATTGTAAATACTTTCATTTCAGCTATATGTGCTTCGTTTTCTTCTTCGAGTTTTTTTGTTCGAACCATACTTCTCCACCAATTAAATGATCTAAAAATTTCTTATTGATATGATGAATTTTTGTTTTTTTTTCTATTTTAAACATACTGAAATAATAATTTCCAATCAGCTAATGCAGCTGCTCGACCCATTTGTAAACGTCGTTCTAATACAACATTAAGCCAAGCAGAAAAATGTTTTTGTATAATCTAAATAAATAATTATGAAAATTTTTTAATTAAAGACTTTTGTTTTTAATCAAGACTTACTGTCAATGATTTCATTCGAATAAAATCATCAACTAATGTTTGTAATCGTTTTTCATTGAGCTCCTGTTGTTCTTTAAGTGCTATATCTTTTAATTTGTGTAATTCTTCTTCTTTACGTGATCGTTCTTGTTCAGCTTTTGTACGTTCTGATTTAGCATTGTCATATTCACGTTGACTATTAGAAAATATTTTATTATTTATATAGATGAAAAATAAAATATTTCAAAAATTTTCCTATCGGATATAAATCTCATATAGCTTCACTAGTAATTAAAACAAATTAACTAATGAATGATCGAAAAGTTTTTTGACAAGATATTTATTCACTTTTGACCAACTACAAAACATTTCAGACGAGTCAAAAACTATAGCTTGCCACAAGAACTTGAATATGGCCTTAGAAATGTTTGATTCTTTTATTTCGAAGAATAATCAGAGATTTTCCGAAAGACATGAAAATTATTTCCAATAATAAGCTGAAAGGATTTTATTTCGCTCTCTAAGTCTCTTTTCGAACATGCTTAAAATTGTCAGAGTCAATCGTTTAGTAAAGCGGACACTTCTCTTCAAAATGAGAAATCGAATCGAGCTATAATTTTTATACAAATCAGACTACAAGCATTGATCAATAGCTCTTTGAACGTTAAACGGTTGTCGATTTTTCAAAAATGAGCATTTAGGAAAAATGAATATTGATGTATCTTATCGAAAAACAAAATAACTTCAAACGATGCATTTTGTGGATGGTTTCTGATCTATAAATTGATATATAAATAAAAATCCCAATTTTTGGTTTCAAATCGTATTAGTGAATATACAAAAATTTGTCGTTCGAACTAATTTGTTTGGACCTTTCAAAGATTATTATACTGCTCCAGAACAAAAACTGAGACAAAATTTTGAAGCCCATACTCGAAAAGAATATCTTAACTCGTTGCTTTTCCATGAAACTCTTTTTTTTTAAATGATTGGTTTTGCGATATCGCTATATAGGAATTTATTTGCACGTTATACTATGAACGAGTAGTCTGATAATCAGAAAGCTCAAGAGATCAGTTCATTTTTAGAATTTACGAGTTATCATTTTACAAGTCAAGACAATTTAGAAGAATTATTGATCATTAGTTTTAATGTTGTTTGTCAGTTTGTTATAATGAAACAGTAAAATTTACACGATTTCATAGTTAAAAATACCAACAAAAGCAAGTCACATACATATGATTTTATTTCGTTCAGAATTTTAAAAAACTGTGTACATACTGTTTTCGTTGTTCTTCATCTTGTAAACGTTTTTCATGCATTTCTTTTCGTATTTCAACAACATGTCGTTCAATCATTTCTTCTTCTTGTTTAGCTTTTAAAGCACGTTCACGTTCTTCCTACAATATAAAATCAAACTATATGTCATAAATAATTAAAAAAGTCAATTTTACCTTTAGAACAAGAAGACGAGCTTGAGCTTCGGCTTCTTTTTTTGCTTGCAATTGTTTTCGTTTAAGTTCACGTTCTTTTTGCATTCTTTCATGATTTTCTTTAACCTTAAATAAATCAAGATTAAATAGAAAATAAAGAACAATACTTTTGTTTCTTCATACTTGTCTATGTCGTTCTTCAATTTTCGTTTGTATATTAACAGTTGATGATTTATTTTTTTCCATAGCAATCAATTGTTGTCGAGTTAATATATCTTTACTTCTTAAATCTAGATTTTATTTATTTCTTATTGATTATTTTATTTTTATATAGAAAAAGAAAACAACAAACCATGAAGAATATCTTTGACGAGATCAGTTTCATCGTGTGTTTCATAATAAACACTTGGGTCTTGAAATGTTAATAAATCTTTTGGTTCTCGTAAAAATTCTAATTGATTATCATCATCATCAAAGCTAAGATTACAAGCTTCTTTAACAGATCGTACATTTGATTGAACTATTTCTTCATCATCACTATCATTAAGACCAGCTTCAAGTCGAAGTTTATCATTCATCCATTCATCAAGAATAGCTCTTGCTTCTAAAAATAAAACGAATTTTTTCGAAACAATAAAATTTGATGAAAATGAGGTTTTTTTTTCTTTACCCGTATAAGTTGTATCTGTTGTTTTAGCATAAACAGCTGCTTGATTGGCAAGTATTTTTCCAGTTTGTCGACCAGATGAACGTGGAAAAACTGTTTCAACAGCATTCGATGATGCATTTTCAACTTGACGTAACCAAGTTTTTATATCATCTAAATTAATTTACATGAGTTTTTTACTTTCTTTTTTTTTTAGAAATTATAAATGTTTTCTTTTTACCATGTTTTGTTGGTTTTGATGGTTGATCAAGTGCTGATTGACGTTTCTCCCAACGATATAAAGCCTTATGTGGTGGTGCAGCATCAGTCATAATTGTTTATTTAAAACTGAATCTGAAAGCAATGAATAAAGATATATATAGAATTGCAGTTTTAAATGACGAGAAATGTTTTGTTTTCTTTTGAACTTGTACTCATCGTCAACTGAAACTTCATTTATATGAATGAATAAAGTATGATTCATTCCAAGAAAGATGATTACCATTTGACATAACTGTTAAACTAGTTGAATTATCATTCAAATTTTATTCGTTTGACAGATTGATCATGAATTCATAAATTCATTGTATCAGTTTTAAAAACAATAATATAATTTTAATTGTCGTGCTTGAATATTTATGTACAACTTAGTTTTGAACAATTAACACTAAGTTTTTATAAATATTTATAAGAAAGTTCTTCAACAATATTTGTCTTAATTCTATATATGTTTACCAATTTAAAATGCTTTCGAATTGATAATTTTAAGAAGAATTTCGCTATTGTCAACGTGACTTACATATTTAATTGATGGAGTAGTACTCGAATAAAATAGGAATTCAAAGTAAATTAAACTTATTAATTTGAACTTATCATTCAAATTCGACTTTTTGAATATCATTTAAAAGTGTACCATATCCAATTTCGACTACATCATTCAAAGACAGAATTGAAAAAAACAGAGCATATAATAAATATTGCCAAATATTTCAACACTTTGTTCTTTCTTTTCAGTCATCCACGGCTTTGTTACTATGACCACAAAATTTATCAAATTCGAAGATGTCGCCATTGAACTAAATCAACATTCAAAATCGTAATAAGAGAATAAAATTATATATTTGTCGTTATAAAATTTCTATTATCTATATACTTGCAAATATTGAATGCATTTTGATTGAATTCTAAATTATTTTATTGATATAAATTATTCATAAATGCACACTTAGGAACATGACAATTCAAGCTTTTTAGTATGAATCTATTGATGCCATTACTTTTCTAGAAAAGAATCCAGTTCTTACTGAAATACTAACTAATGTGCACGATACAGAGAATAAATGAAATGATGTGCTTAACCTAGAACAAGACTATCTAGTCAAACAACAGTTTAGACATAATTAAATTCGTTTCTTCTATTTAATCCGTTTATATAGTTATCGATTCAGTATGTGTAGACTGATGTTGATAGATGATTAAAAAGAGTCGGTATTAAGGAAACAACGGAGAACTACATACATACAGACACGAATGCACAAATAACTTGAAGCATGATTGAGAAGACATGGGCATCAACAACTTTATGGTTTGAAGTCATTATAACTCCAAACAGACTATCATTATCTTCTAAAACTACATAGACTAACAAGTATATATCTTATAACACAAGTCATTGATACATTAGTTGCAAATTTCAGGAACCAGAATTCTGCAACAACAAGAACTGATAGATTTCAATCTGAACAATATTGAAGAATAAAAAGTGAGAAAACTAAAAGTTCAGAAAAAAATCAATTAAGCTAAAGAAAAGCCTAAGACTATCGGATATCAATTACATCTCTCAAAAGAACATGTATTAGATAAGCATATGAGAAAATTCGTCTTCACTATGTTTTTTGTATTCGAAGTATGATATTGTTTCTTTTTTAACATTTAATGGTTCAGTAAAAAAATCGATAAAGAATAAAAATGAAAAGTGTTAGGAACAATACACAACTAGAAATGATCAAGTTTGTACATCTGCAAAAAATCAAAAGAATAAACATGAGAAGATTTTATATTTTAATCTGTTTGCATCAACATATATGATAATAAGTTATTCATAGAAAAAAGTACAGATTCAAGCAAATATTTCTATAGGACAGAATGTTTCTATTGGAAGTGATTAATGTTGAACTTGGGTGAACTATGATTTATGCAAATATTTAGAGACAAAGCTTTTTCATATTATAAACTTACTAAGTATATGTACTAAAGTTTTAATTTAATAAATTCATCAAAGGAGAACCACAATTGATATTCAGGAAATTCTAAGCTCAATATTTAAAAATCAGAGATTTTGATGACGACTTGAAATTTGTCAGTTAGAGTCTTCCAAGTTCATATTTCTAGGTCGTAAAAGTTATAAAAACCGTTACAGAACGAGCAAAGTAGATTGGCTGTAGGGGTATAAAGATTTGATTACAACAAACGATAAAAACTGGACCGGTCCGATTCCAACTCTAATAAACAAGGCAATACAATAGATGAAGGTCTACGATCAGGTACGGTAGATCATACCAATTGTTTCATAAACGGTATGCTGTTACCGGATACAATGTTATGCAGTATCATCTCAACATGGTTGCTAACTGCTGCGTTGTTACTTTACTTGCTTACAGCGATTAATTTTTTAGTCATTGTTTAGGACGGTCGTCATGCACTCTGAAACTGCCTTATGACTATGCCAATAGGTTATTGTTTTCTATTATAATTGATCCTATACTATTATACATGATTGCAAGTGATTGACGTGAGTTATTTTCCATAGACATGTTTTTATCGTATTTGTATCATCTACATATTGTACGTCATCTATTGATTATTATAAACCAATGAAATATATAAATGACTCAGATATTTATCCAGTCATTTATTTATTCAAGAGTTCAACAAAATTGAAAAGTTAATTCAAAAAACATGAATTATTTGACATGTCAATGTATCTTGATTTTATTTTAATAAATTAGTCTAATTAAACAATCTTCAAATTCAATATAAATTTCTCTGTATTTATCTAAATTCACTTGTATTTATATATATCTTTTTCATATGAATCATAAATTTTATTTTGTTTTGTAGATATTTGAACTAGAAACGTGTCATCGACAAAAAACAACAGAAGTTCAACATCTTCTAATCGTAATCGAGAAGTAAATATAAAAATAATTATTTTTTTGTCAAATAGTCTATGATATTCTTTTAGTAAACGGATCATGAACTCGTAGTACAAAAAGATCGAATGGCAAAAAAAGCAAAATTACCTCTGGAAGGTATGTTCTCTCAAATTTCTGTAAAGATTTATTTTTCTTATTTATTTTTCTAATTGCCTTTAGTCATTTGTTTAAGCGACGATGACGACGATGACAATAGTAAAAATAGTATTCCAATAGCAACCCCTATAAAACAACAAAATTCATCAACAATTGTTAATAGTGATGTTCAAAATGATACATATGAATCATCTAATTGGACAATTCATCATGACGATATTATACATGTATCTGAACTACCATCGAAATATTCAGATATATTTAAAAAACCATTCGAAATTCGTTGTTCAACTATTCGTTTTGGTATTGTAGAATTTAATGTTGAATCTGATGTTGTTCTTATGAAAGAAAAAGAATTTGAAATGAAACTTACAGGTACAAAAATATTGTATAATAAAGAAAACTATTATTGTTTTTTGCAATTATTCACAGGTGGATTTTTGGACAATGTAAATATGAAATTAGCTTATTCAGATGTACTTGCATTTTATTTTTCATTTCAATCGCAAACACCAGCGGCATTTATACAAGTTCGTAATGAATTTGCTGTACTTTTTGATAAGTATATTCCAACATCCGATGAGCATGGAAGAGGGTTTGATCCTAATTCTAAAGGTAAATTAAAAAAAATTTTCTTGTTTTGAAAACATAATTATATTCATTTAGATGAAAGACGACGTCATGTTATTTTTTATTTGAAAACATTAACACCAGATATGGAAAGAATACATATATCAACAATTTATTATTTTCTTAAAACAAAATGTCCTAAAATGGTTTATATATTTATTGTCTAGAGAAAAAAAAAATTTATTCGTTTCCTGTTATAGGATGTTTGTTGTGTCAGTGCTTCACGAGCTCAAGAGTTATACAATTTAGCTCGATATGCTAAAGTATCATCACCAACTCCAAAAAAAGTACCTTTTACTCTCAATGCTAATGATTTGTATGTTATTTTTATTGTTTTAAAAATACTTCATTCAAATGAATTTCTGTCTTGGATTTTATGGGACTTTCATATATTTTTGAAGAAAAGCTTGTTAGCGCGGTTCTTTTGAGACTGAAATATGGAAATCACTTATTTCTAATCAGCTACAATATAATACCAGTTGTTAAAGTCTGTAATACGGAGGAGAGAGAGGAGCCGGAAAACTTCGATTTTAAATTTACACTCACTATCTGCTTCGAAAACATACGTGAATTCCACAAAATAGTGCATTTAGGCTTAAATCAAGCTATTCGTAGCTCTCCATTCCTAGATCTTAGCATAAAGTAGGATAAAAGTCAATGATTACTCGATATGTTTCTCTGGCAACCAAAAACAACAGGCACCAGTCTCCTTTTTCAGAATTCCTTACTAACGGGAAAAGGTACTGAATGATATTATCAGCAAGATTTAGACTATTCTAAAACCTTACAAAGTCCTTCTCGAAACCAATATTGCTGGAATACTTTTGTAGATGTTCTAAATAGGGTAGTTTTTTATTTTCGTTCAGATAAAACTTTATATTCAAGATGTAAAGGGTGATCGATAGTGATGCATTGATTTACTACAGTGATGAAATAGTCCAGTTATAATTTTAGGAAATAATCAACATCAATGATTTTGAGTTTATCGTAATATGTAATAGTGCGTTGAGATCTGTCATGAATATAATGGATGTATACAACAGATTGAGTTACCAAGACAATCGATGGTAATAAGAATAATAATGTTAAAGTAAACTAAAGGGAATACGAAAATACAAAACAACACGACAAACCAAAAAAATAAAGTGTCAGTAAACGAACAAAATTCTATTCGAAATCCAAAATAAATAAGATAGATCGTTTCACTGCCGATCGATTATTCTTGAAGAACAACTATAGTCTAATAGAAAATTTTCACTTTACGTATTTTGTGTTAACATAAAATAAGACTAAAAAGTACACATGTGAACTCTACACTTTAGCTTTAAAGAAACTTCTTCAACAAGCTTTTTCAGTAGAGTTACGTATATAGATATCTAAAGATGATTTATTATTTGAGATATGAGATTCAGACGCTTTTCATATAGTGTGACATTTAATTCATCGATAACTGAGCAGACGTTTATCTTTGTCATATTGTTGAGTGAGTGTCCATTCAACAATAAAATCTATTCAATGATTTTATGTGCTCATTGTCTCGTTTTTATTTTGAAATAAATCTTCATTTTTTTAATGAATCTTAGAATCCAAAAGACTAGTCTAACTAAATGACAAAAACCGTATATATTAAATTAATTCTTGCTTGTCTCTTAGAATTGCAAAAACAGTTGGTTTAAACAATAATACAATTCGATTTGATCTATCATCAGAAGATTTACATTGTTTAAATGAAGGCGAATATCTCAATGATAATATCATTGATTTTTATCTTCAGTAATATTTCAAAATAATTTTAGTTTTTATACAAATACTTGATTGAACTATTTATTTTATTAGATATATATATCACGAAAAATTATCTGAAGAAGACCGTAAACGTACATATTTATTCAATTCATTTTTTTATACACGATTAACACAAAAAGGCAATAGTGATAATTCGAATATTTCGTAAGTTCATTGATTTTGTTTTTGTAGTTAAAATTTGTTTCTGTTTTGAAATATTCAGAGCAGCTGAACGACGTTATAATCGTGTTAAACGATGGCTTCGTGATGTAGATTTATTTTCAAAAGATTATCTTATTGTACCAATAAATCAAAATGCACATTGGTATATCGTTCTCATTCAAAATCCTAATAATGTTTTAACAGAAGCTGATTTAATTAGTGATGATGAAGATTCTGATTTTGGTACGAAATCAAATTCTCGAATTAAACTTTAAAAAAAAAATATCCTAAAGTTGCTTTTTTTTTTATTATTTTTTCTTTATAGATGACCGATTAAAATCAAAGAAAAAGAAACGTTCAACAAGAATAATTCATCGTAATGAAAAAAATAATAATTATAATAATTCATCATCGAAATCAAATATTCCTTCACTTGAAATTTTTGATGAAGCTGACGAAGTTATATCTAGTAATGATACACCTTTAAAAATTAATGTTGAATCACTTTTTAATTCAAAAAATCGTTCTCAATCTCCAGCAATAATTATATTTGATTCATTACGTATTGCTTCTAAAGTTCGTGTTGCAGCAACATTACGTGAATTTCTTCAACTTGAATATGATCATAAAAAAACTTTACCTATTCAATCATTAGGACGAAAATTATTTAATATTGATACTATACCAACAATTGAAGCTGCTGTACCACAACAACGAAATTATTTTGATTGTGGTCTATATATATTACAATATATTGAAAGTTTTTTTTTTCATCGTTCATCGGCTACCAATTTTCCATCATCATCAACATTTTCTAATTGGTGCGAAAAAAATTTAATGGGTTCGACAAAACGAAAAGAAATTTTAAATGTTATCAATCAACATGTTATTGCCAAAGAAGAGTGATGAGTTTTTGAATGTATTGAAATTCTATTCTTTTCTTTTTTTTTTTTTTTTCGTTACTCTATTTGATTGTGTTACACTTCTTCTGCTAGTATTGTTATTGCCACGATATATAACATATAATGTTATTGTTTTCTTTGTTCTTAAAAAAAAATGAAATTTGTTGGTAGACAATCATAATTGTCTTTTTCGATACTATTTCTTTTTTTACTTCAGACAATCCTTCTTTTTTTCATTATATTGAGCATTTTCATAAGCAATATGAATTCGTACTAATGTGGATCTTATGAAAACTATCAGACAAAAAGATATTTGAATGAAAATGCTGAACAACAATTCTGATTTTGTTTGTATACCTTTATATGCAATGCTTTTTTCTTCTCAAATAAATTTCACCTTTGTACGATTTTTTTTTTCGTTAAAGTTTTAACCAGATTTTCATTGATTGATAGACAAAAAGAACTTTTTGCTTCGTTGAAATGATTTTAAGAGAAAGTTTTGCTGCTGCTGAATCAAATACAAATAAAAAAGAAAACTTAAAATTTTAATATTGTTTCATTAATATTTGATACAATCTTCTTATATTTTACAAAAATTCATCTAGAGTATTTCTTGTAGATCAGTAAATAAAAGTGTTTTCTGTGAATAAAAGATAAATCTCATATATAGATCTGATTTTACTAATAGTTTATGCATCTATCATCAATAAAAGCAAACAAGGATTAATATTGCTGTAAGGTCTCTTCATAAGTAGCATGATATTTTATTTAATATCTCGTTTTTTGTCAAAATTTTTCATAATTTCCGTTAAATTTTGCTTGAAAAGTATGTTTCATTTCACAGAAGAAACGAGAACTCTTTCATTTTTCTGACCTCATATCTCAGAATTCTCAAAGGAACTTCATCGTGGCTAATTTCTGTTTTCCTTGTTTGAAAGAGCAAATGAAGCTGTAGGGTCCTGTAGTGTTTGTTGAATATTTCACGAAAACATTATGTTGTAGGGTTGAGCATTTTAGCATAGTCTCTCCAATACAAAAGAAGATGTTGAAAATATTATATGATGAAAATATCTATCAAATGAAATCGAATAAAAATAGAAAAATTTATTATTTCTTTTGTTTTCGTTTTGTCCTTTTAGGTTGTGTCAAACGAAAGTTAATTTTAAGTGAATATTTCTGTCTATTAAAAATACAAATTTAAATAAAACCAAACATTCTTACTTGCTGCTATTCTTTGCAGTACATTTAAACATAAACATGGACGAGAACATGAACAGTCATTAAAAACATAGACAACAATGTTAAAACACTAAAGAAGAACAAGGTCCTATTTGTTTTGAATACTTGTGTTCAAATAAAACCGATTCATTTCAATGTCAAAATACATACACAGCATAAAAAATCATAGATGAGAAGGGTTTAAAATCGAGCAAGCATATTTCTCTATGTCATCAAATATTACTCTTCAAATGTAAATAACTCAATTTAAAATGACCTGTTTTTTTCTCAAATTTCATTGTATGCGAATATTTGATTCATTCATGCATGCATGTAGATATATTCATACATTGAGGCATCAATTTGTACATTTATTGTTCGATTACATATGTACTATAGAATAGACTACATGTCTTTTTGAAGTTCTCTTGCCTTTTTTCTTCATATTGAGAGAGAAGGAGACTAGGAAAAAAAAAGATACGTCCTCTAAGCCATATACAGATGCTGGAGAGTAATCATTGAGAAGAAGGAAAAAAAAATTAAGTATGAAGTAAAGAGATGATGTTGGCAGCATAGAAGAGAAGGTCTCAGCGAAATGGCGACGAACGAAACTTTATGAATTGATCGAAGGTAAAAAAAAAAAGAAAGACAAGAACGATAGAAAACTGAACGAGGAAATATAAGTTGTATCGTATAAAGAAAGGTCATGGTCTTCCGAAGAAAAAAGATTGTGTTGAGTAGAAAAGAAAAAAAGAACGGAATACATTTTTTCTTGACATACAAAGCAACAAAAAAAAATTCGAGGCAAGAAAAAGAGAAGAAAAATTGAATATCTACTGCAAACACTATGACTTTTGTCTGTTGTTCTCAACTAATACTTATACTACTCCTAATAAGCTATTGCACTATTGGTAAGTATAACTAAACTTTTTATGACTGCAAATTATATTTATATCGTATCATAAATAGAGTCCAATGCTTACCGTCATCGACGTCAATTAATTGATGGCAATAATCCTAATGTACGTGTTCCACAACAAAACTTTGGTGGACCGGTGCCATTAAATCCATTAAATAATCCGAATATAGTCATATCTAATGAACGAACTAATCCACAACAACTAAATACTAAATATAATCCTCCAATTGTAGCATCTCAACCACAAACAGAACTAGTTCGTAGTCGTGGATTTTATAATAATCCATCATTTCAACCATCACCATTTCCTGGTGAAAAACCTTTCGGATGGTTTGGTACGAATCGTGTAAATTGGGTATCAAATCGGGACAGTGAATTAGATAAAAACAAATTAGCGGCAGAAAAAAAAGCGCCATCAAATAAGTAAATCACGTCTTCCTTGTTCTTCTTTTTTTTTCCTACTAATTTTTCTTTTCATATTTCAAATAAGTCCTCAAGCTAATGTTATTCAACCACGAAAAGATGGTGGACCACTTTTTCTTGAAAACTTAGCTAAACAATACGCAAGTAAAGGTGAAAAAGCATTCCCTTTCGGTCAATTTGAAAGTAAAGAAAGTTCATCATATAAAAAAATTATGAACGAAAAACGCATAATTAAATGCTTTGTTTTTGTTAGCTCATCAAGGTCGTGGTGCAGTTTGTTCAAATCATGACAATTTTGGTGGATTTGCATTTGGTAATTTCCCTTGTCCATTACCAGCAAGTACAGGTATGAATCAACTTGATCAATATTGTTGTGGACCTGCTAATTATCAATATTGTTGCAATGCTCAGTTCGTAATCTTAAAAGATGATTTTATAATTTTTGTTTGTCTTTAAATTTTTATCAATAGAGAATACAGTCAAACACAACGTGGTGCCTTTGGTGATCATAGATATATTGGTCAACGAGGTTTTTCAACACGAACAGAGTTTTTACCATCAACAAAACGCATACTTGCAATTATTTCACCTATTGGTGGTTTTATTGTTTTAACAGGAATTATTAGTTTGGTAGTTTTATATTATAAAAAAATTCGAAAAGAACAGAATAGCATTGGAAAACCAGCTGGAGCTATTCGCTTACAAGATGATTATTCAGGTAAACAAACTAAAGAAGAATATTGAAAATAAAATTATATTTTTCTTTCAGCTGTTCCTCAAGAACCACCAATTGAAAAATTTATATTTAAACAAAACGAACAATAATAAACGAATAATGAATCATGTTTACTTCGTTTTTTTCTTTATTTCACTATGTATATTTTATCTAAGCTTTTAACAGCTAGTCTTGATACTTTCATTATTCTTGAACAGTTCTTTTTTATGTATACGACTTTTTGCCATTTGTTTCTTAGTTCTTTGTTTTAAGAATACGTATTTCTTTTCCTTTGTTTATTTTAATTATAATATAATTATCTTTTTAATAAAGTCAACTCAAAAAAGAATAATCAAATCTTGATTATTGCACCATAACATTTAGATTAATTATCTTGTTGAATAGCATTCATTTGTTTGAATACTAAAAATTTGTAATAGAATAGTTCAGTAATAGTTTTAAACTTAAGAACTATGAGCAACGCATTCAATCTGAACTGAAAGCTGATCGATCTTTATTTGAAATTAGATTCGATGTCAATCAATGAATTTTATCTAGTATCTAATTTGTTTCTTTATGCGTACAACAACATAAACAAGATAAAAAAAGCTTGTTTATTCTAAAATTCTTTCTTTTAATGCTTTATAATGTAATCGACGATCTTTTTCAGCTTTAGCAAAGATTGCTCGATTTTCTTGTGCTCGTCGAGTTAAATAAGGTAAAAGACGATGTATTGGTCCATATGGTGTCAATTTATAAGCATCATAACCAACAGCAGCTATAGAGATACAAGAAAAAAGGCAACAGATAAGTATTTTATGAATAAATAACAAGAAAACAATCTTTACCTAACGGAAATGTAAGATAATCACACATACCAAATAAAGTAGCAAAAGAAACAATACCATCATTCCGTTTAATATTCATTGTATCCATACTAAACAGAAATTCATTAAGAGTATTTTTACTTTTATTTGGTTTAAAAACCTACGTTTTAAGTGCAAATTCAACTGTATTTTCATTGTGACTAGCAACAAATACATGAGTTTTATTGCTATTGTTTTTCGCATTTTGAAGTGTTTCAAACAATGCACGATGATAAGATTCTGTTGTAGCCAAAAAATTTGGATGAATTGGATCAATAATCTTCATTTCAGCGGCTCGTTTTCGTTCCTAAAAGTCAATATATATATATACATAATAAACTTTGTCTTATTAAAAGAAATAAGATTAGATAGTGTAAAAACAAAAATAAATCAAACAAATACCTGATCCATATAAGCGCCGCGAACAAGTTTAATTCCAATATGAAAATTATTAGTTTTGGATCGGCTTAAATCCTGTCGTAATAAATCCAAAGTAGTCTAATATGAGAAAACACAAAAGAATTCATTAATAAAAGCTTTAAATTGAATTTATTTACCTTTCGATAACATTGATATGTGTTATAAACAATTAAATTATCTCGATTATATTGTTCTTGAAATTCAAGTACTAGTTTATGAATAGCTGTTTGAAAATATGATTGTTCAGCATCAATAAAAATTTTTCCATTATGTTTTTTTACTTCCTAAATAATTCTTTAAGAACCTGTAATCAAATGAAATAATTAAATACTTGAATAATACGATTTATTCGTTGTATTAGATGATTTACTTCAGTTAGTTCATCTTTATTCATCTAAAAGAATATATATTCATAATATTGAGACAAAAAAAACAAGTAAACATTATTTACTGTAGATGTATTTGATGCGAATTCAACAATAGAAAGCTTGGTTGATGGCTGCTCTTGTTCTAAAATTTGATTTAATTTTTGAAGAATATTTGGTGGAACAAATGCTGTTATTTTAATTGCTGTGATTGCCGATGAACCACATAATTCAGCTGCTGTTTGAACATTTTTAATAGATTTCAATAAATTTTCATTATATATATCTTCATTTGAAGGATTCCATATTGACGAATTGTTTTTTTGTCTATGTATAGAGACAAAAAAACCAAAATGTTTCAATTAGATAAATATAAAATTCATCTTTTAAATAACAGACTGATTATGACTTGTTACATCTGATTCCATACAATAGTCAAGTATTAATTTTACCCTATGTTTACGTAATCTTTCTACAATTGGTTTCAACTCAGTTTTATCTGTTCCCGCAACAAAATGTCCATAAAGTGTTGAACGTATTATATATTCAAATAATCGTTGACCAAGAATAGTACGTAAAACAGTAAGTAACTATATATTTAGAAAATAAAATAAATTTAATATTTATGCTTTCATTTACTTTAGAAAGACGATTGACCAGTGATGAATACGAACATAATTTGAATACAAACCATCCACGAAATAATTCATATTTTGATTTATATCCATAAGCAGCAGCAATTGAATCAAACTTGACTTTTTCATGATTTTCTTTTGAATTCAATGCTAGTGACCGAACAAAACATCGTTTAATATGAACATTATTATATAGTTGACATTGCCTAATCATTTTTGATAGCATGTTTGAATATATTCTTTCCCTTTTTTTTCGTATTGACTACTCTCATACGCCTATCGTCTATTCGTTTTCGTTCTTGACAAAAAGCACATGGTTGTATCATTTATGAGTGTGTTGCGAAACACCGCATGTAATTACTACTTTTTATGATAACGTATCTGATACTGTACTATAATCGATTGTTTTAACATTTCTTAGTTTGTGGTTAACATTTGTAATATATTTACATTACAAATTTTGTTACATGCTATATGAAAAGTCGAAATTTGATCTTGAATACCATGCGTGTATATATATATAGAAATACGTATTTTATTAAACAGAGTTCTTTATATCAATTATACATAAAATGTATGCAAAGAGAATCGAATGAAGTAAAACTTAATTTTTTGAATTAAACATTCGATCTTTCAATGCTTTAAAATGAAAACGTCTGTCTTTACCAGCTTTCTCAAAAATCGCACGATTTTCTTGAGCACGTCGAAATAAATATGGTTGTAATACTTCAATAGGTCCATATGGTAAATATTTGTATGTTGTATAACCGGAGTTAGCTAAAGCAAAGGCAACATAATCATTCATGCCATAAAGTGATGCAAATGAAACAATTGATGAATCATGACGAATATCATAATCTTTCATTCTATATCAAAGCAAATCTACATAGAAATCAAAATAGTTTATTCTTACTCTTGAATTGCATATCGAACAGTATCTTCATTATGTGAAGCAACCATAATTCTGACTTGTTCAGGCTTACGTTTAGCAATATTATTTAATACTTCATCAAGACATGTATGATACATTTGAGATGTGGCTTCAAAGCTTGGATTTATTGGACTTTCATATCCGTATTCTCGTGCTAAACGATTTTCTTGTTCCATATATGCACCTCGTACAAGTTTAGCTGCAAATATATAATTATATTTTTCTGCTAGAGCAAGATCATATTTCAGAGAATTCAATGTATCCTATTTATCATTTGAATAATAACAAAACCAAATAAAAGAGTCTTAAATTTAATAATCGCTTACTTTTAAATAACATTGATAAGTTCCATAAATAACAGGTGTATTTGATTTATTATAATATCGTTGTAATTCAGTTGCAAGATAATTAATTGCAGTTTGAAAATATGTTTGTTCAGCATCAATCATAATCGAAATTTGATGTTTAAGACATGCCTAGAAAATATGTGTTTTTTCCAATAATGTTTTAGATAAAATTAAACAGGAAATGTATTTTTGGTTTTTTTACTTCAGCTATTTTATTTAATCGTATAAGAAGATTATGAATTTCTGTTAAATCATCAGGCAAGAATGTAACATTTGAAGATATTTGGTTCTAAAAGCATGAAATAAAAATCATTCTTAGATTTGAGATACAAAAATTTTCATAAACTCATAATTCTTATAAGTATATATCAAATTACTTGATCTTCTTTTAAATTTTTATTAACAGAATCTTGAAAAAGAACAACTATTTTATTATTTGTTTGTTCTTGATTGATTAATTCAAATAATGGTGGTAATGACGAACGATTTTTCATAGATTTTAATATTGTATTAAATTTCTTTAATACATTTGGTCGAATTAAAGCAGTTACTTTTATAGCAACTAAATTATTTGGACCGCAAAGATCATGTGATGTTTGAATACATTCAATAAATTTAGTTGTATTATGATCATGCATAAGATCAATTTGACTTGATCTACATATGTGAACAATGTCCAGGAAAAAGGACAGAAAAGTATTTAATAGTCTTACGATGATAATGGACTGTTATCATCACTTTCTACACTGTAATCTAAAATAGGTTTGACATTATAATTTAGTAGTCTTTTAATGGCAGGTGTTATTTCTTTTGGAGTTTCGCCACCAACAAAATGACCAAATGCAGTCACTTTTAAAATATTTTTAAATAACCGATCACCAAGAATGCGACGACCCCAATAAGCAATCTAAGTTAATTTTACAAATTGAAATTTATTATTTATTTTTATTTAAATTTTACTTTATCTTGATGATTAACAAAAGCATGTATTGAAAATATCCGAAAGACAAGATAACCTCGTAAAAGTTCAATACTTCGTCGATAATGATAAGCTATTCGATATTGATTAAATTTTGTATCAAGTAATGGATATTGTGAATGAATTTTCTGTTTCTTATTTTCATTTGTTAGTGAATCAACATTAGTCGATAGATAATAAATTGATTTTGGAAATACTTGTACAGTTCGACATAAGCAAATAGTCGGATTTGATGGACAGAAATGTTTGATCTTAAATATTAAAGTTCATTTATTTTTCAAAACTTGGCAAACTTACCATCATCATAAAAATTCCTTTTTACTACATTGAATAAAGCTATAAACAAATATAAGCCATTACTTTTTCTTCAATTGCATATATATGCCTTATCAATCTTTCACAGGTATTCAATGAAATGGCGAGGGAGTAAATTGAGGTAAACAATGTGCACAAATCACGCTGACGATTTTTATTCTAGACGTAGGCTGTCGATAGTAAAAAAGAACAAGAAAAATCGATTATTGCGTCTTTATAAAATAAAGATAACAACACATGTATTTGCGTGACACTATTAAAATATGGCCTAAAATCAAGAATCAAACGAAAACAAAAACAAACATCTGGAAATTGCCATAGTACTGTTTAATATAATAAAGAATTTATATTCTTCTGTAGAAAATAGTGTTCCTACTAACATGTAATTTCTTTTTTTCTATCAAATTTTTTTTTTCTACATTAAAAATAAGCCTTTTTGCATTGAGTCAGTCACGCTAAATTCCATTTAAATTTCTATTTCGATGGATTGAACAACAGAGTAATAAGAAAACAATAACAAAAGAAAATGTTTCATATTAACAAAAATACATCGACAACATATATTTACAAATATGAGCGGAGCAATCAATCAATTTGGTCTTCATACTATTGAATATACGCTACGAAAAAAACGTTTAGAAGATCCACTTTATATAGCAGCACATCCAGAATCTCTTCCAGAACAATGTAAATAAAACATTACAATTTATATGATTTTGATTATTTTCTATTTCTAGCTCGATATTCTTTTGCACATAATACACCATATGATACTTGTACTACATCTTCACCATTAACACGTCCTCCTATTGATATTTTTTATGCTGATCAATTAGCAAATAATATATGGTCAAAACCAAGAGAAGATTCACCAAGTATGTTTAAATCACGTGAAGGTGAATGGTTTGACAATCCAAAATTACGACATACTCTTGAATTAAATTCGCCTTATGTACCATATGGCGGTTATGTTCATCCAAGAGAACAAACTAAATGGGAAGATCTTCAAGCACCACCACCAGAAATTTCTAAACAAAAACAACGAGAAAAATTTCCTGTAGTTCTTAGCTCAATGACAAAGTAAATTAAAAAGTTTTTTTCTTTTTGTTTTGTTTTTTTTTTGAATATTAATTTTGTTTTATTTTAGATATGTAGAAGAAATGAATTTGATGGAATTTGGTTTCAAATTATATTAAATATGAACAATTAGACGTAGATAATAATAGACACACATTTATTGTAGAGATGAAAACGCACATAACAAATAAATTGAATTTTGAAAACTTTTGTTTTTTTATATAAAAGAACTATGTGTAACAACAATAATTGAGACTTGATTAATTTACATTAACTAATTAAAATTCATGTAGAGAGTAACAGAAACTATCAATTATTTAATGTCGAAAAGATAACGGATCTTCTATTGCCAAGAATAAATAAATTTTGTGAATATTCCTACTCATGAGCAATACTATGCGTAGGTAAAGCAGAAAAATTTCTTCCAATGAACCTTTGTTCATTTATACTTAAATATGTTTGTAAATAATATTATTAATTGAAAGTATAAGAAAATATAATATAAAGAAATGATATTTAGTAAACTTTTTTTCCAATACAAGTTTGATTACAATATTGAAAACAAAACAATTGAATATGGCGCCTAACTGTTGTATAAGATAATTTTCTATATTATATAACGATAGCAAAATATAAGCTATAAAATCTAAGTATTAACAATATTTATTGGAATGATTCTATATCGATAAATAACATGTCATATCGAAGTTTCTGTGGACCGAATAAATTTTCACAGAATTATCGACCAAGAAATTCTACATATGATCATGATCGTTGTAAATTACCAGCTATTAATAATGGAATAGGAACCATGTCTAATATGAATCCATCTATCTGTAAACCATCAATAATACGTTCTTGTGCACCTCAAACAAATGACAATTGTCCAATTCATTATTCAAATGCTTACAATAATGATTGTAATACTGGTATTACGAATAATTTATCTACACAAGTTAATTGTGCATCATCCGGACCAGCAATTTACCATGCTCGAACACCTTCATATAATAATTGTAAAACAAGTTGTCCATCTAGTGGTAATACTTCATTACAAATATTTTCGTCTCCACCTCCAACATCATCTATGTGCAATGATGTGCAACAAATACCAACTAATAGATGCTGGTCTTCAAATCAAGTTATTGGTTGTGATAAAACAAACCTAACAAATACGAATTTGAACAAAAATCCAATAATAAATAAAAATAATAATTGTCCACAACGACCAATGATATCAAGTTCAGCTGGTTTCAATTGTTCTCCATCAAATTTAAATATATGTGCTGGACCAAAAACTATTGTACGTGATCGTCATTTAGCTAATGAAATTCTTCAAAAAGCAGGTATTTCATCAAATATAACACCAAATGATTGTCTTGAAGTAATTACTGACACACCTGTTACAATAAATGATAATGTCAATTGTGATCCGGATCCATTATGTATGAAAAAACCAGCGGATTGTCAAGTAATATTAAACTATTGATTTTAAAATTTTCTTTTGCATTTTTATCATTCTTTCGAGGAATGTTATGAACAATCAATTGTTGTTCGACATTTACAACCGTAACTATTGATTTCTTTTTTTCTTTTTATATTTTACTTATTGAAATAGTTTCTTTTCTTGTTTATTTAGACCACGACCTCCAGTGCCACCACCAATTATTATCCGGTTTGAATAATATTATATATTGTCTCTTTTTTTTTCTGTATTCGTAGACCATAATTTATTCAGTGAACATTGTGCTCCGCAACCACCACCGCAATCGCCCATTGTCATTCGACAAATTCCTCCTCGACCATCAACACCACCACCATTAATTATTCGTGAATGCCCACCACCAATGCCTGATATACAAGAACCCACAATAATTGAACGTGAAGTTCCTCCACCACCACCACCGCCTCGACAAGTTATTATCGAACGTTTACCAACACCACCACCAAAACCACGTTCAATTATTTTCGAAAAATGGCTTCCTTATCAAGAACCTGAAGATCGACCATGCATTGTTGAAAAAGCTGCTATTAATGAAATGCCTCCGCCTAAAAATCTTATTATTCAATATGAAGCACTTGAACCACGAATTCAATCACAATGTATTAATGAAGGTGTTTCTTGTGTTGATCCAAAACAATTTGTAAATGATAAACCAAATGAAAATGCTGAAATATGTTATGTTGATCAACTCAATAATTTAGTCAGTATTAATTATTTTTCTTTTCTTTTCTTTTAAATTAAATCAAACTAAATATTATTTTCTCTTCGTTTAAAAATTTAATCAATCAATATGAATTTGACATTTCAGCCGGATCATATCAAATGTCAACTCAGTCCACAAGCACTTGCTGCTATTGGCATTCAAAATGATAATAAAGAAAATACTAGTATCAAGTCGTGTGTTGTTCGTACTAATCCACCTTGTTTCTATCAACGACAAGCTCGTGTAGCATGTCCTTCAATACGTCCAATGTCAACTGGACATTCAATGATAAGTAATGGTTGCCATTCGACAAAATCATCTTATTCTCAATTGTGTAATCCAACAATATATCGTCAACAACAGCCAAACAATCGTGTTCTATCAACTTCAGCTGTTTGTTTACCTCAATGTTTTAATAAATATAATACGAACATGTTAACACGACCAGGCAATCAAGGTTTAACCAATATAGCTCGAGCACATTATAATCCAGTTTGTTAAAAATAAAATTTCGAATAATATATAACTATCTGAATTTTACTTTTCTACTATAGTGGGCAACAACATATCAAGTATCATATACAAATAAAGCACGAGGAATGTGTCGTACACGTTAACTGATATTTTTCTTTGCTGAACTTTTTGTGCACATATTACGAAATAAATAAATAAAAGTAGCTGAATTTTTCTTTTAAGAAAAAAAGAAAAAACTTAAAACATCAACTTATTATCGAAAATGATATTAATGTATATTATTCTTTACATTAATTTTCAAATACTATTCTATTTTTCACTTATTTTATATTTTTTCAGATTACGAGTTTTTCATTAAAATACTTCATCTTACCAACAAAAATACCTATTTTCATATTTTCCTCATTATTTATTTAAAACTTTGAGTACGAAATTTATCTTGAATATTATGAACAAGTTTTATTAAGTATTCAATACGTCTATTTATGCAACACTGACAATAATAATAACAACATACAAGTGTTCGATGAAAAGAAAATTTCAATAAAAAAATAAATAAATGCTGTGCTTTCCACCACTTTAACTACTCAGTCGTGGGGTAACACAAGAAAAGATTATTTTTCTAATAGAAAAAAAAATACACTATATAGATCATTGCTTCGATTAATTGTTTAAAACTACTATTGTTGCGCCTTAAATTTTTAACATACATGCATGTCTTGTTACTCAATGTACACTGATAGTTTCAACTATAAATAATTACGATTTATTGAGAAAACTAGAATACTATTTTTCGTAACTCGTTTAATGCTACAGTGTTTATTGAAGTCAAGAATAGTACTTGAAATCAATTCTTTTTAATATTTTTTTAGAGATATGATTCATGAACGCTCGTCTATCAGCGAGAAAAAAAAAAGGTTCATTTGATTCAAAGATGGCGAAAGTATTCAAATTTTTCTTCAGTGAAGTCAACTTTGGCCTACCCAATATTTAAGTTGTGACAAGATAAAATTCTATGCACATCCCATATGAATTATTTGATTCTGTAGAAGATTAGATTATTTGTATAAACAAAAGAGGCAACCGTCAGGAAGTCATGAAATACCGAGAACATTTGCTTCATCATTCATTTTTTTCAACAAACATTGCACGTAATAAAATAAAAAACCTTGTCCTGTTAGATGATCGATTGTATCTAGTATATAAGCATGCTTTTCTTATTCTATCCTTAATACGATTTTATGACTCATAAGAAAAATGAATACCTAATGATGGATTATAGATCAGAAAGTATTGGAGAGATTAAAAAGAAAAAGACTAGAAATAATTTCATTCTGCTATATAGATTTATATATATCTGAATTCAGAATCCAATTAACTTCTGATTATATACAATGTACTTAATTATCACTGTTGTAGCTTCATCTATATGATTTCCACCACTGTGACCTTCTTCTTACCATAAAATTGTCATAAATTCTATCATTTGAATTAATGTGATTCCCTCATGGCTATTGTCTTCGTTAAATAGATTCAACTATTTCAGTAAGTTCATTTGCGCTACAATCGGATCAAGATTAACTATTTTACGTCTGGGATTATTTCGATTTCAACCTATTTTACCGTAAGTACACACTAATCTATTATTATTAAGAGCAACATAACATCTATACATATATATGATAATGATAAAAGCATATGCAAAATGTTCGGCTTTTTTTCTTTCTTTCTGTTGAGTTGCTGAACTATATATATAAATTTATTAATATTGCTAAAAAATTTTCGTTTCAATCAGATATCTGGTCATTTACGATAGTTTATTTTTAAAATATCAATCGTGATTAGAATCGATATTAAAATTTTATTCTAAAATCAACGATCATTTTTTAGAACTAAGTTGTTCTTTTCCTCGATTCTGTCGAATCTTGTTTTTGCTACGATGAGGATTAATATGATCATTGACAATAAATGCATATGTACATCGATATACTATAATAGTAAATTCAACAATAAAAATATTTTTTTATTAAAAAAAAAAGAAGTAAGACCCTAGATTTCCGTGTATTTTTCAATGAATTAGTTTCAGATTTCTTCTTACGAAGTAGCGACCTCTGGATGTGCACTTATGCATTTAAAATAGTTATTTGCTTATAGCGGCTCTAAAATTTTATATAACATTCATATTTTTGTTCAATATTTCTAAAAGATAGTATTCAAATAAAAATAAATATCTTTTTATATTGTTTGAACACCAAATTAGAGTCTATTTATTGTCTAATATGCATTGATAATGGTACCATTTATTGTGTTATTGATGTTTCTTTCAGACACATTAGTACTCTTTTGATTATTCTATTTTGTTTTTGTCAATATATAATTAGAAAAAAACGAATCTCGAAATTAATTTACGTCACTTTTTATCAATTTATTATCGACAATTGTGTTTCGAAATTCAAATCTCAAATTTATTCATTTTAATCACGATACGAGCTTCATTGTATAACGAAGCTCAAATATATTCAGATTAGGTAAGTTTTATCGTTTTATTCTTTTTGTATCCTCATTTATTCATAGCTATTATTGAATTCAATTTGTTATAATTAAAATATATTATTAGCTTAGATCAATATTAGTTATATGAAAGTTTGATTGATTAGTCAAAAAAAAATCTTGTGATTATATGCAAAGATGAACTGCTGTTCTTAAAAAGAAACAAAAAAGCAGTATATACACGTGAAAAAAATGATACTGCTAGAAACGGTTGTTATGTTTAAAAAAAAAAGAGTCATCTAATTCTAATTGCCATGATTATAAGTGTATTAAGTTAATGGATATAATATACAATATTATTAATGTACACACATATCGTTATATTTATTCCGATTACATCGAATAAATTCATTTTATATTATTTTATTATATTTGGTCTTTGTGATTTCATTAGTTTTATTGTTTTTATTTGATGACATAATGTTAAGAGAAACTAGCAAAATTCTATATGACAAAATAGTGTTTAAGTTGTATGTTAAGAAAAATGAATTGATTTTGTCTGTTGGATATAGATCTATATATATATATATATATGTATCTTTGATATGAAAATAATTCGTGAAAAAAAATGATATTTGAACAACATCACATCTGTCATTATCCCACACAAATCTCTGCTTGGTAGCTTGTTTCTCTTATCAACAAGCGACATATATATTCTTAACTTTCTTATTCTTGTTCTTCGTCTTTTTTCTTCGTCTTCTTGTTCTTCCTTCTTGTTCACTCGTTAATTCATCTTCGAAATTGGGAGGGAACTGCGTGTCAAACCCGTCACTCGCGGCGTCATCATTGTCGGGTATACGACGCTATTTCTCAAAAAAAAGAAAGCCGACTAAGTAACAAGAGAAAAGATGACTGAGAGTGAAGAGTAGTAGTAGAGTGTCGGATATATAGAGAAAGACAGCAACAAGAAAAAAAAAAGATAGAAATGCAAGAGGATTATTTTCTTCACCTTCATATTATAGTGAGAGCATTTGTGTTTTCTCTCTTTTATCTTTTTTGGTTCAATTGAAACATAAAAAAAAAAAAACAAAGTTGCGGTGTATGCATCTATGAGTCTCTGTTTTCCATTAGAATGATGCATTCGAACACGATCTGTCTTACATCATGCATACTATTTTATCTTCCATTAGACAATGATATTTGTTATTAGTATGAGCAACAATAATGATGATGGACATTGGTCGATTTGTCTATTCATCATTTGTTAGTGATGCCTGTTATCAAGTGGACTCCCTCTTCTTCTTTTTCTTCTTTTCTGTTGGTTGTTTCTTCTTTTTTAGTGGTAATAGTGCTAGCTATGGCAGAGAATAGACGCGGCTGCAACAAAATGATAGAAAGATAAGAACGACGCCAAACTGGTTTATGTCTGTGTATGTGTATGTGTGTATATTTTTTAACGGACCCGAACGCATTTCTTTCGTTCTCTCTCTCTCTCATTCTTTTTCTTTCTCTATAGCATTCGGTGCTCGTCGTCGTCATCGCACCAAGTAATCATTACTTCCTGTTCTCCTGGCTAACGTCGAGTTGAGCTCTCAATGGTATACAACAGTAGTTCTTAGCATTGCTCTTGTTTTTTCCTCCTTCTTTTTCTCTTCGTTTCCTTTTTCTTTCCTTCTTTCTTCGTTTTTTTTTCAAATAAAACCGACTAGTTCGCATTACTAGAATTATGATTATAGAAAAGCGAACAGTGGCAGTAACGACGGCGAAGCCGGTCGTTGTCGATAGTGTGGGAGCGAGAGAGGAACGCAAAGAAAATTATCATCAACAATAGAGCTGTTCATCAGCATCGTATCATCATTGCTGGCTGACTGGTCTGGACCCGACTTCGACGTGCACTCGCGTTCTTTCTTTTTTTTTCTTTTTCTTTTCTCCTATTACTTGTCGCTCGGAAAAGAAGGAAGATCTTCCATCTATATTCTACGTACTACCATCTCTTTTTATTCTTCGTTTTTTCCTCACCCTATTGCTGCCATATACACGCAGACTTTTTCCTCTCAGTTGCCGCTGCTAGTCGGCCAAACTTTTCTCTTTGTTGTTTCATCCACCCCGTCCGCTCGTTCGCTCGCCCGAGTGGCAACAGCAAGCAGTAACGTCGTCGATAGATCGTCGTTTTTCTTTTTTTTTTGCTTCTCGGTTTTTTTTTGTTGAAAAACTGAAACAAACCAGTAGTCGTGCGTGTATGTGTGTGTGTTTGTTATTTTGCCACATCGTGGAAGTGTATGCATAAATGATAGAATTTCAGACAAAATCATATTTTCTCTACAATGTACGCACGTATTAAACGGAAAATAATATATCAGAAACAATACGACAATCATCATTATTATCATTACTTAAATTACTACATCAATGATCACGTCTGTTGTTCATTATTATTATCTTGATGGTCATTCTTCATCCTTCTATTTTCTATCATACAATAAAACAAATCAAGTAAGATATATATATATATATATATACATATACAAACAAATGAAAATAATACAGAACAAAAAATAAAAAAACTTTTTTATAGTTTAATTTTAATTTTTAATGTTTTTTTATGTATTCCTGTATGTTTTTATTGTCTATACAATAGAGATTCTCAAGCCTTCTTTATTGTATGTGTGTGTGTTTGTATGGATGCCATCATTGTCGTGTAAGAATAACATGTTGAAGAAAAGAAGAAATTGCGCGAGTGCGTCACCAATTTTGAGTAGAGAATAATACACACGCGCATGTACACCATCATCCTACACTGCTATCGCCATCATTGATGATGATGATGGCAATGGCAGTAGCAGCAACCAGTAGTAGATAGTACACACACATTGACTGTCACACAGTCAGCATCATCAATGTCGTCGCGCAAGACGAGATATAAAAAAGCGAGAGAGAGAGAGAGAGAGAGAGAGCAAGAGCTATCGTGACACACGCACGACTAACATTATCGTCAGTGAGAAAATAACAAGAGGCTTTCTCAGTTCGTTGCATTTTTTTTAGCGATTTTCACCGTTGAAGGTTTTGTTTGATTCCATTAAATACTACAGAAACATGTTGCTTTCCTTCCTTGAAATAATACTTATTTCTCACGCACATCACACGGTTAGATTATTGAAGAAAAACAGCTTTTTCTCTTTGATAAAATTCCATTTATATAAAGATGTTTTTTTCAATGATAATAAGAGTAAGATTACATTTTCAAATATTAACGATAACACCCGATAAATCTGAGAAATACAGACAAAATTCGTAACGAGCCTTGTTTCATATCATTCAATTAGATGTATATTAAAAGAAACTAGTGATAACGTAAGATCTGATCAGTACTATTGGCATTCATCAACCGTTTGTTATTTGTACCAAAACATACTTAAATTATTTTACATTTTGACTAAAAAATTATTATTTTTCAGATTAGAAACAAATATTGATAAGGAAAATTTTTCTATTATAAGTTAGAGGTGTGCATATAGTACAAGTTTTCAAGTAATAATCAATGGTATTATTTATTGGAATTTAAATATTGTAGAAAATAATGAAAGAAATAGTTAAGATATTTTTTCATTTTAATAATAGATTTTAAATAAATATTTAATATTTATTTTATTATAGGTTTATTCAATAGTCACAATTCGCAATTAAATTAATTTTTCTCCTTATTTCCCATTGTCTTATCCTTTATCTTTTTATTAATAATTAATATTAAATCAGAATGAGTGACATTGAAAGTTTACGTCAAGAAGCCGAGTCGCTCAAAAATCAAATTCGTGTATGTATCAATAAATATTTATTTAGTTCATTCTATTTTAATAATGCTAATTTTTTCTTTTTCTTTTTTTTGTAAAGGATGCCAGAAAGGCAGCTTGTGATGCTACTCTATTACAAGTAGCACAAAATGTGGATCAGATTGGTCGTATTCAAATGCGTACAAGACGAACTCTTCGTGGTCATCTTGCCAAAATTTATGCCATGCATTGGGGTTCCGATTCAAGGTTAGAATTCTTTTCTCTAGTCAAAATTTTTATTCAACATGTATATTTAATGTTTTGTTGTTTTAGCTCCTCCTCTAGAAACTTAGTATCAGCTTCTCAAGATGGAAAACTCATTGTATGGGATTCATACACTACGAACAAGGTATGAAAAAAAAACTAACCAAGATTGTACAAATAAAAATTTTACTATTTTTCTATTGCATATTAGGTTCACGCTATCCCACTACGTTCATCATGGGTGATGACATGTGCCTATGCACCATCTGGAAATTTTGTAGCTTGTGGTGGTCTTGATAATATTTGTTCAATTTATTCATTAAAAACACGTGAAGGCAATGTACGTGTTAGTCGAGAATTACCCGGTCATACGGGATATTTATCGTGCTGTCGTTTTCTTGATGATTCTCAAATTGTGACAAGTTCAGGCGATATGACATGGTTAGTATTAAGTTTTTATTTCTTCTTTCAATTATTGTAAAATTATTTTCTCTGATTTTCGTTTCAAGTGCCCTGTGGGATATTGAAACTGGACAACAAACAACTAGTTTTCAAGGACACACAGGTGATGTTATGTCACTTTCATTATCACCCGATATGAAAACATTTGTTTCGGGTGCATGCGATGCCTCTGCCAAAGTAATTGAAATGATCAATTAATCTGATTATCATTTTTATTGTTTCATTTTCTGATTAGCTTTGGGATATACGAGAAGGCATGTGTAAACAAACATTTCCCGGCCATGAGTCGGATATCAATGCTGTTACCGTATGTTAATCGATCTTGTGATATCTATATATCTATATATATATAGATTTTTTTATGTGTTACTTATACAAAATATGACTTTGTTTTTTTTTAATAATAATAGTTCTTTCCAAATGGATCGGCATTTGCTACAGGATCTGATGATGCAACTTGTCGTCTATTCGATATTCGTGCTGATCAAGAAGTAGGAATGTATTCCCATGACAATATTATATGTGGTATAACATCGGTTGCCTTCTCCAAATCGGGTCGTCTTCTGTTGGCCGGTTATGATGATTTTAATTGCAATGTTTGGGACACACTTCGTCTAGAACGTGCTGGTAAGTTTTTTTTTCTTTAGTTTTTTTTTTAAACTAGTGTTCTTCTTTTTTTTTGTAATAGGCGTTTTGGCTGGTCACGATAATCGTGTCAGTTGTCTTGGTGTAACTGAAGATGGAATGGCCGTAGCGACTGGTTCGTGGGATAGCTTTTTGAGGATTTGGAATTAGCCTCAATTACTATCTATCTTTCTTGCAAAAGATCTGCTTTGTCACATCGACGACAACAATAAGAGCCAGCTTTCTTACCTATTCTCCCTCAAGCAATACAATAACTCTATGTTTTTTTTTTCTTTCTTCTCTATCTGTATCTCTAGGCTGGTGGACATATTTTTTTGTACGTTTGGTATTGCCAATTTTGCTTGTCGTCCTATCTGTTTTTTCTTTCTTGTCTCTGTTGTGCTCTTGTTGTTCTTTTCTTAACAGTGGTGAAACACGTTTGTCAAACACACACATGCATACATATTTACAGAGACTTTCTATCTATTTCTCTCTCTCTCTCTTTTAAATTCGATACGGGTCTGTTTTTGCCTGCATTCTCTCTCTTCTTTTTGTAAGCTGCTTTTTTGCTTCTCATCTCTTTTTCATAATTGTCAGTAGTTTATGTATGTATGAATGTATGTATGTATGTGTGTGTGTGTATGTTATTTTTAATTGTCGTATCGTTATGGATCGGTATCGTGTGAACATAGTTCTCACACCAGTCTTCTCGTCCTACTTCTACTACTTCTGCTGTTGTATGTGTGTCGTTTCAGAGCGAACGCAGTTGTTCTAGTCGTTTTATTCAGCGCGTGTATTATTGTGTTTTTCTCTTTTTTTTTCTTCTTGTCTTACTGCTCTATGCTCTGCTGCTAAATGTTTTTTGTCTTTTTTTTGTCTTTTTTTTTTCTTACTGCTTGATCTGTTTGTGTGTGTGCGTTTCGCAGAATGAAAACCAACACAATGTACGTGGTGTTTATCTCTTTTTTCTCGTCTGTTTCGCTCTTACTTTTTTTTCTCATTATATACTTACTTATTTAAAATACACACTCAACAGTCTATACAAACAAAAAACAAATAGCAAAAATAGTTATTTTAGTCGTAATGTTTTTGTTCTGTTTTCTTGCGTTTTCTTAGTCGAAAAAAAAAAAGAAAACTTGTTGTTTGACCAAGATTTTATTTATTTTTTGGGTCTTTTTTTTTTTTATTGATTTGACATGAAACAGTTTTGCATGATGATAAAAACAATCAGAAAAGATTGAAATGAAATTAAGACTAGTTTTTGAATTCAAACATGAATAAAAATTGATTAAGAAAGAAAAGAAATTCTGTTTTTATTTTTTCGAAAAATCATAATAAGAGCACAAAGACTAAATGCGCCATTTGTTTTCGCCTATATGTAATGAATATGTAATGGAGCATTCTTTTCTTTTTCTTTATCTCTGTCTTTCTATTTTTCGCTTTAGACCAAGATTATCATAGCGATGAGTCAGAATGGTACGACACCTACTACAGATGAAGTATGGCTTTGTTTAATGCTGAATCAATCTTTCATTTGTCTATTCAATTTAGAAGCGTACATCGATCACTATACCTACTCCTTTATTTGTCCCGATGATGCCTATGTTTTTTCCTTATGGTAATACTAATGCAACTGGACAACATTTTTTTGCTCCAGCTGTTTATCCTAACGTTTCACCATATCCATCAACTGGTAATCATCGTCATGGAAATGTTGGACTTGGTTATAATGCATTTTACAATCCATTTTATCCTACTCCAAATAATATTTTATCTCCAGCAACACATATCACTAATTCAGCAGCATTAATTCCACCACGTCCATTAATGCCGACACCACTGTTATCGTCACAACAACTACAGCATTCATCAATAGGCTCTCCAACTATTGGAAATGATGTTGAACGCAATAAAAACTTGAATATTCGTGAATGTCAATCACCAATTATAGATCAAACAAAACAAGCAAAAAATCCAATAGTGATTGTTGATGCAAATTCTAATAATACAGAACCAAGAACACGTAAAAATTCATCATCAGCATCATCATTTATATCTCGTTCAGGTGAAAAAGAAAAACATAATAAAAACTTTTCAAAAAATATTAAATATTGTTATCTTAATTCTTATTTTAGAATCGGATCAAATTCCTTTTCCATCTTCATCTTCTGTTCAAGACATTGACTATGATAATTCACAAGACGATTTTTTAACATTTATCGAACAGAAAACTAAAACGAAGACAAAAATGCCAGAATTAAATCCATTTGCTAATGAATTTTGTTTCGGTAATAATAAAAATCTTACTACAGATTCATTAATAATAACAAATGGTATTGATCATAATACAAATAATGAAAATCAATCATCGTATAGATTATTATTTGATAATTTAATTGAAAAAAGTCTTGAATCTATTGAAGCTATTAAAAAATCAAGAAAGTAAAAATTCTCTTCTTGTTTTTTTTTTTTTAGTCTTCTAAATATTCTTTCTTCTTTTTCTTTTCTATCGATAGAAAAACTTCTGTTAATGATATATCTATTCAATGTAGTTCAATAAATGATTCTATTAATCGTTCAACACAAACTATGGATCATACAAATAATTTTGATATTATTGAAGAATATAGTTTTCGTACAGTATGTTATTATATTTAAAAAAAAACCAGCAACAACAACATCTTATCGTCTTATTTAAATAATTATTTTTTAGATTAAATTAATGGATAGATTACTTGCAAATTTTCGAAATGTATATCAAAATGAAGTTCATGATGAATGCAAAATAATGGCTCATACATGTGATGAATTACGTCATTTAATTTTATTTATTCATCATACAATATCAACATCACATAATGATCAACAAAAAACCTCATCAATGGATTTAGATAATCCATTTAGTAGTATGATACAAGATCTAGCACACGATATGAAAAATAGTAATAGATATCAAACATTATCACAACTTGCACATAGTACCGGACGAGGTACACGTCGTCTAATGACATCATCTAGTAACTCACCAGTACCATCATTTTCTTGTCGTCAAATTGATCAAACAACAATAGCTCAATCAAAAGTATGATATTTTCTTTTATGATAATATACTATAACTATGTTCTTCTTTTTGAAATCTTAGTTATGTTTACTTTGTCATAGACCTATAGGTGATAGTGATGATTTTATGCATACACTAGTATGTTATTTCTTTTCATATATAAATTTATAAAATTCTATGTTATTATTTTAGTGTCGATCGTTAGCATCTTGTCCAAATATGTCCGCTGATACATAGGCTAAAGCATATTAACTTTTACTTCTTTTTTATGTAATTCTTTCTTTTTTCTTGGTCGGATAGTATTGGTTAAAGATGTCTTTCTCTCTTCTTTCTTTTTGTTGTTAGCACATACATTGATATGTGAATATACGGTGATATTATGTTTTTTTTTTCATTGAATGTGCATTATTACTCCTGATGTCGTCTCTATCCTTTTTTCTACATAGAAGAAAAAAAAACAATGAAAGTGTTATATTTATTTAAGAAAATATAAGAACTATATGTTATCTTTTATATAAGAAATTTTTTTCGTATTTATATGTTAAATGCATAGCAACAATTAATTAGTGGCTCAATGATAAAGTCAAAAACAAGAATTTTTACATGGTTATTTTCCTTTGAATAGATGTAATCAATTTTTTTTTCAAGTTTTAATGTCCTTTTTGCATATTGATCAAAGTTCAATGAGACAGAAATAATTGTTTACTTTCTTCAATCTCAAGATATTTATTCCGGCACTTTCCAAGCTAATCTAAGGATATGTATTTTGAAGAGCAATGTAAAAAATAAGATCATAGGAAAAGGATGTTACTCTTATTTAAAGACAAAGAAAAAAGAATCAAGTACTCGATTGTATTAGAAAGAATAAATCTTTTTTTCAATTACGATTGATAATTAATTATGGTTTGTCTTCATTAAAATTTTTAAATAAAACTATTTCTTATACTAATAGAAAAAAAGATGTTCCATCTATGTAAAAAAATCCCTTCAATATTATACAGTTTAAATTTTTTGCCTTCTAAATAATGATAATCAAATGAATTAATTTAGGTGGATTATTGACCTAGATATTTACTTGAAATAAAATCAAGGCTTTACGATAGATGGCATAAGATCATATAATCTTTATAGTTTGTTTTATGCAAATCCTTACGACATAAATAAAGTATATTTTTCAATTAATGATATTTTTAGCATAAATTACTATAACTAATAAAAAAACAAAGGTATCAAATAAAATATTTATATACAATGGTAGAAAAACGAAGGCAAGATTGTCGTCTTCTTAGTAGAGGTGTTACCATTCAAATGGTGATATGTTGTGTTTTATTCCAAAGACCATATGTGGTTGATGTTATTCATACGATCGATTCATTTATTCATTATTTTTACTGTTTTTTTTTCCTGAATGATAATATTAAGAGAAAAAAAAATCTTAGCGAATTGAAATGATTCATTATAATTGTGATTTTATTTATATTGTAGAAGTTTTCAATCAGTTTTGATTTTTAAGCATTAACATGGCCGAAAGTAATGCTGCTGCACATGACCATGATGAAGATTTTCAAACAGGTGATGCTGGAGCATCAACAACGTATGTATTCATTCAAAAGAATTTTTTCTTAATAGTGAAAATTGATATTAATAGATATCCTCAACAATGTTCAGCTTTACGTAAAAACGGCTTTGTTATGTTAAAAAATCGTCCATGTAAAATTATGGAAATGTCAACATCAAAAACTGGCAAACATGGACATGCTAAGGTATAGATCTTTTTGTTTTGTCTTTGAAAATTTTCTAAAAAAAATGAATTCAATGAAAATATTTTCATTTAGGTTCATATGGTTGGTATTGATATTTTTACAGGAAAAAAATACGAAGATATTTGTCCATCAACACATAATATGAGTGTTCCAAATGTTAAACGTGTTGAATATTCAGTAAAGAAGACAAATCTATTGTTTAAAAGAAAATTATGTTATTTTTTTCATTTTTTTGTTAGTTGATTGATGTTGATAACGATGGTTATGTATCATTGATGGATGATAGTTCGGACACACGTAGTGATATCAAACTTCCGGAAGGTGATTTAGGTCAAGAGATTAAAGCTAAATTTGAAAGTGGAGAAGCTCTTAAAGTCACTGTACTTCAAGCTCTTGGCGAAGAAGCCATTATGTCATACAAAATTGAACAAGATTCAAAAAAATAAACTTCTATTCGAATCATCTGCTTTTTTTTTTTTCTTTTGTTACTATATCATTAAGAATTTCAACAATCATATCTTCTATGAGAAACTAACTTCTTATATTATTGTTACTCATAATAGAAGAAAAAGAAAACGAAGTTAAACTATTAATATCCTCATTTTATGAAAATCCCTTTTTTTTTTCTCTCCCCTTTTTATTTTCTCTTTTCGCACGAACGTAGAGTTGTGTTTTTTTTTAGCTCAAAAACAAAAGTAAAAACAAGCACATATATAGTCTTTTTCTAAACTTGTGAAATCCACGCAAATTTAGGTCATGTTGATTGGTTAAAACTTTCGTTTCTTTTTTTTTTTCGTATTTTTGGTGGATCGCTTTGTTTGTTGATTTTTATTATTCTTTCTATTATATCTACACATATGATGATTGGGTGATGGTTAAATTTTTTTAAAATTTTTCAATGGAATTGAATCAGGATTCGAGTGAATATGAGCAAGATATTTTATCATCTAATTACAGCAATGTATACGTGTCAAAGATTATGCTTATTAAATGAAGAATGGAAAATTTCTGTGATTATTTCTCGATATAATTGAATATAAGTTGTTATTTGTTGTATATAAAAATAAGTTAAAAAAAAAAAAACCTTAATCCTCATCTAATTGAACTGTTCCACAATCGACAATTTTAACAGCTTTTATTGGTCGTTGATTAATTGTATCGATATGTTCAAGTTTATATAATGTATCAAAACCTTCAACAACACGACCAAATGCAACGAAACGATTTGACATCCATTCACAAGCATCTGATAGAGTTATATAAAATTGACTTCCGTTTGAGTGTCGATAGCCTTTATTTGCCATGCCTTAAAAAAAAAAAAATTTAATTTAGTAATTAAGTACATATGAAAAATATGAATATTGACCAAGAATGCCTCGTTGATTATGTTTAACAACAAATGTTTCATCAGGAAATGTTTCACCAAAGATCGATTCTCCACCATTACCTCTGCCACCCCGAATATCTCCACCTGAAAAAAAAAATTATATATATAGTTTTTTTTCTTTTTCAAAAAGAAATATTTAATTAACCTTGAATCCATCCATTTGATACGATACGATGAATAATTGAATCTTTATAATGAAGAATTGTACCAGTTTTTCCACTTTGACCTTTTTCACCTGTACATAATGCTCGAAAATTTTCACATGTTTCTGGTGCTTGATCATTAAATAATTCAAATACTAAACGACCAATATCAGTTGTTTGAGAATTTTCACGATCTTCAATTTGAAAATCCATAAAACAATAAGTATGTTGACCATTAATTGATTCAAATTGACGTCTTAAACAAAAAGAAATACTTATAACTTATATTGTTTTAAAAATACACATACTTGTATTCTTCATGTGAAAATACACCCAAAAGTTCATTCGAACGAAAATCACTATGATCAAATGTATTTTTCGCCCAATGTAAAAATTGTTCAGCATTTCCAAGTAATTGTTTATCAATAAATACCATACATTTATCATTGAATGACCATGTTTCACCACGTAATTCAGCACGTTTATTTTGCATAAATGATTTCCATTCATATTCAAGTAATGGATGAATTTCTGAATTAGATATTTGATTTGAATGTGTTCGCTGTAAATCTTCCAAGCAATGTTTAGCTAATTGATATTCATCAGAATTTAAAAGACCATATACAGCTATATGAAACGATGGTGGTGCCATGTTACGAATGAAATGTGATGTAAAAATGTCGCCTGGCAACCATAAAGCAATATTACAGAAAAGAGAACAAACGAGAACTTTTTTTTCTTTCTACCGTGAATTTTATAATTGCACGAACAGTAGATGGCAGTATTAAGCATCTCGATAGACTTCCGATTGAATTATATGAAGCTTTATTATATTTTTTTCCAAAAACAAATTAAATCAAATGAGTCTAAATCAAATGGAATCTTTTATTAACGTTAAAATCATAGTTGTTAACGGTTGATCCTTTTTTTCAAGTTGTTCTATAAGATCAAAATGATCATAATTATCTAGCTGTATAGTTTTAACATTATCAAAACCAATTTTTTCTAAATAAGAACCATATTGTCGATTTTGATCATGAAAACTTGGAGGATCATATTGAGCATGAATACATAGAATAGGTACATGCTTCAATTCTGACCAGTAATCATTACTATCACGATGCAAAGGACTTGAATTTTTAGCTGTTGATATGTTCATATCAAGAGGTTTGTTAACATATGTAGAAACAATTGGAATAAGATCGAAAACACCTGAAATAAGAAAAAAACCACCAAAAATTTGATGATCAATATTATATTTAGTTTTCCAATCAATAAGTAAAAGTGTTGCAGCAAGATGACCACCAGCTGAATGACCACAAATAAATACTTTACTAGATGATTTCATTGCCCATTTGAGAATTTTAACTAAAGCTTGTTCAACACATGTAACAATTTGATCGATTGTTGCATGTGGAGCTATTGGATAACCAATAACAGCTGTATGAATTTGTGCATCACTCATTGTTTGAGCCATAAATGCGCTTTCATTTCGTGAGAAGAATTGCCAATATCCTCCATGAATATAAACAAAAATTGCTTTTGGTTTTATTGAATCAATGTAAGGTAATAATTCTGTAACATTTGATGGAAAATAAATATCAATCGCATGATCAGGAAATGCACTTGTTGAATTTACTGTCCAATTTAACAAGCAAGGTATTGTAGTTTGTGCACATTGTGTAGCTTTTGTTAATGTCTGCACGTGAGATTCAATGACTTTTTCACTATCACTAAATCGATGAGACCAACAAGATGGTGAGTAAGCACGATCAATATCTATTTCTGTTGCTGTCATCTAAAAGACAAACATTAATCAACTATTTTTTGTGTTTCTATTTTTTAACTATTCCTATTTGATATAGATGAATGTCTAATATTGCTTTATCTAATAGAATTAGAAGGATGAATTAATTTTCTAAGTACATATATACGAAAAGAAATACACTATAGAATATAAGAAACCATGTGCATATAAATATTTAGTAGTTTATCAATAGCCACGTTTCATAAATCGGTTCTATCTATTAGTACGACTATTTAAAAGATGGCATCAATGTGTTTTTTTCTGTCGTTAGGTGTCACACAATAACGGTACTTTAATTAGAGTTTATTTTCGATTGAAAACTCGTCTTGAATAGATTTTAGTTGTTTGCAGTTGATGGTATTAATGCGAAACAAAGTATTCATGGATTGAAAAAGAGAAACTTGTCAATGTCAGCCGTTCTTGTTAAAATTGAGAATTATCATTCGTTTTAAATTTTCTATGTAACAGTCAAATCAATTTTTTTCTTTTGCATTAGTCTTGTTTCTTTCTTTATTAAATATATAACATAACAGTTTAGTACATAATACTAACAGATGTGAATATATATATTTAAAGAAAGAAGTATCGACAATCTATTTGTAAAATGTCTAATGTTGTATGTGAAGAAGATGATTGCAACCTATTGACTGTCGCTAAATGTATGCATTGTAATAATCATCTATGTCTAAAATGTTTGACACGACATCAACAACCGATCGATTCTCAACTTTGTCAATTGACTAATGATATGAATAAATTATTATCATTATCATCATTAAATGATGATCACAAACAATCTAATCATCCTAAAACAAGTGTCAATAAACAATATATGTCAGTGATGGAAAAAATTGATCTATGGGAAATGACAATGACAAAAAGATTGAATGATTTAGTTGCAGATGTTCGTCATAAATTACAACATTCATTCGAACAAATTTCTTTTGAAATCGAAGAATGGTCTACAGAAAGACAAATTGAATTGCAACAATTAGCAGCAGATATTGGTAAAAATTTCAGAAACAGAAAAAAGAAATGTTTGTTGTTTTTTTCATGAATATCTTATAGAACAACTATCACTTAAAGTGAATGAAGAATCAAACATGCGGATGAAAATTGATACATATAATCGACAAATTCAGAAATATATTAAAGAATATGAAACTGCCCATGTTGAATTAAATCTTATTAATAATGAATTAATTCCATTGTCATCATCAACATTACAATTATTTTATTTATTTGAACATTCAATAAATTTTGATCTATCATTGATTCATGATCCACCAAATGTTTGTTTTGATGCTTCAAAATCATCATTAATAGTATCATCTTCAATATCACCATCGAATTCAATTAATAATCGTCGAGAAAAAATCTTTTTACCAAGTATTTTAATTAGTTCACGAAATCGAATTATTTTATTTTCAAATAAAGTTAAACAATTAAATATTTTTTCAAATAATGGAACTCTTATTGATCAATTTAAATGGGATCATACTGATATTGTTGATATTTGTTACGATCAATGTTCATCAACATTAAATGATGATTCATTTTTTGTTCTATCAACTAACGGTAGTGTTTATTCTCTTGAATATCATTCAACTAAACATTCATATTCATGGTTTAAAATGATTGCTGTTAATAATCAAACATATTACACTCAATTAATATGTGATTCAAAATTATCTTATTTATATCTTTTTATGTCAAGTAAGCATCGTCTTGATCAATGGACAATTAATAAAACAAAACGTAATATAATTTATTGTTCAAATCAATTGATCATAACTAATGATCATGTTGAACATTTATGTACATCTGATCAACAATTAGCTTTATTATTACGTGATAGAAAGAAAATAGTAAATTATCGCATTGAATTACGTGATTTTACTGATTTACTTGTAACAATATGTTCAATAGCACTTGATCAATTATCAAGACCGATGAGAATTATTTTTGATAATCGTCATGGATTTATTTTAGCTAATGGTAATCAATTGTATTCATTTGGATCTGATGGTGAAATTATTTCAAAACGTATTTTTGAAGATATAAATGAAATTAAACGGACAACTTTTTGTCAACGATCAACATGTGCTATTCTTACTGATAATGATCAACTTTTATTTTATATACTTTCAAAATAAAACTCATGATTGTTTGGTTTTTATTTTAAACATTTTTTTTTCTGTTAGATAAAGTTTATGTGATAACATTAAATTATTTTTATTCGAAGTTTATCTTTTCTATTCTTTCAAAGCATACTACGTTGAGATGGAACGTTTTCTAAGTAGATCTTCCGTCAAGAAAAATTGTAATCAATGATACTATTCTGCAACTTATCGATGGTTTTCACTGTTTTAGATTTGCTTCGAAAATTTTCAGAAAAACATTCATCATGTTACTCATACGTATCAACACTTGTAGGTATGGTTTAACAAAAAAGCGTAAACATACTTCATATATTTCATGTAGAAACATAGTATGAAAAAAAACTGAATTTATTTTGATTCAATAAAATTAAAATATGCATACATCAGATAGAAGCGTGTCATGTAAAATCGTACTCAGTATCAATAGCTAAAATTTGACGAGATTTTGAGAAAATGATATCGAATTAATGTTGAACCGAATCAAATCTGTAAAATAAACTTTCAAATTGGTCAATTCTTTTGCATTTTACACAGAAAAAATGAAAGTACATATCGATCTTAATCTATCTGTTTATTTTTTATTTTTATCGTCTTGAAGATTTCGAAAATCATCTTTGCAACATATTGACTATCTACTTTCAATATTGCTGCAATCGATATTTTATTAACTATCATTATAATAGTTATTAGGCCGTCGAAGAAAAGTATTCTGGAGATCAATGTGGTGTCGATCCTAGTAGTTGTTATCGTAGATATCTGACTGAAAGAATTAATTAAAAAACTTCAAATTAAAACAATATTCCATGCAGCTATACCGATCACTAGTTTGGTACTGATTTTATCGTGCCACTATTTTATATGAACAATTTGATTCATTGCTGATACGACATGTAATATAGAGAAAAATAATTTGATAAGATGAGTATATGAAAAGGCCTTTAATCATCTTGCAAGCGTAGTTCGTACAGCAATGCGGATAGACGTTGATATCATCCTCATCTTCTACTCTACTCGATCCTTATTCTTGCACTACTAGTTGGACTTACAACAGTCATCGTTGCGATTCTTTTTTCTCATGTAATATATCAGATAATTGAAAACATTTGTTTGTACTAACGAGAGAACGTTCTCAACTGTCAAATTCTGTTTGAATTCGGACTTTGTGCATAAGATAGACCCTAGTGGGGTATGAAAAGCCTCAAGAGGTTAAATCCCCTTAGGATTTCTGTCCAGAGTTATAGGCATTTTACTGGAAATTTAGCCTAGGGCATGGTATATACGAACATATTAAATGACGACGTTTCGGTCTGAGATTTTGCTCACAGACAGGTCTATTGATGATTAGAATATCCTGAAAATTTCAGCTCAAAAGAACATTTTCTTCCCGAGATATAAAAGTCCCAAAAATGACTCATATAGGACCACAAATGCTAGGATTTTCTGTTTTTTAGGACCTTAATATCTCGGAAAGGAAATGTTCTTTTGAGCTGAAATTTTCAGAATATTCTAATCATCAATAGAACTGTCTGTGGGCAAAATCTCAGATAGAAATGTCGTCATTTAATTTGTTTGTATGTACTATGTCCTGGGCTAAATTTCCAGTAAAATGCCTATGACTCTGGACAGAAGTCCTAAGGGGATTTAGTCTTTTGAGGTTTTTCATACCTCACTAGGGTCTATCTTATGCACAAAGTCCGAACTCAAAAGGGATTTGACAGTTGAGAACGTTCTCTCGTAAGACACTTTTTTTTAAGCATGTATGATTAATTATTTTTGAACCGTTGATTGGCTTGAACAAATCATATCATTAATCGTGAGCAAAGTATTTGTAAAAGACGATTGAAGTTATGTTCTTCTCAAACGAATCCCACAATTTTTCTAGACAAATACTTTGATTAGAAGTAAAAAATGTGTACATTGACTAGTTCTGCACCAGTATAAATGATGAGAGTCTTGTACATATCATGATTTTGTTGAAATAACAATGCCATAAGGCAAAGCAACAATAATAATTTTCTTCGAAAACAAAAGTACTGTGAATTATGAAGATGCAAAGGTGTTATGGCAAAAACATCGGTATCTGGATTATTGTTTACTGCAATACCACTTCTCTTTTTTTTTGATAACGCTTTCTTAAAAATTTTGTTATAAATATTTACTAAGAAAATAGCTCTATCAATTGGTTCTATCACAGATAAAGTTAAAAAGAAAAATCGCATTTACACTTTTTACTTTGCGCTTGATCTGTCTCAACTAAATAACTCATCTTTGCGTTCATATCACTTTTTCTTTCGTCAAAATAACTGGCATGCTCAATTTTTTAAGCTTATTTCTCTGAACTAATGCCGTTTGGTCTTATATAAACTTCGTAAGTGGATATTGATTTATCAACTTATTCTGAAAGTATTCGCTTTGTAAAAAGAGAAGTTGTTCAGGAAACTACAAACATGGCTTATATTTTTGGGTACTAGTGGAACAAAACAATGATGCTTTATTATAGTATTCACTTGTTTCTTTTTCTTTATTGAAATAGAAAATCTGATGAATGAATCAGCTTTCATTAATTCTTTTTATACGGATTCAAAAATTATGTCTGTGGGTTTCTAAACAATATGCTCGCAATATTTCTAAAAAAGTCGATGCACGTAGTTCCATTCATCAATTTTTGTTTTAAAAACACAGAAGGAAAACAACTACAACAAGAAAACACGGAAGTTTATTTCCAGTAATACTTGAGTAGATCAGGCTTGCATATATAGTGGCTTGAGCAAGTTTTCACTTGATAAGATTCAAACTTTCATAGTAAGATAATTAATCAAACATATATATCGGTAGTATAAATATACTATCAAACAACAGTACTGACGACAAATAATTGAAAAAAAAGAACAATTGTGCTATTTATTTTGATTGGAATATATAATGGGAAACTTTTCTCATTGTTACAATTGTTTTTTTCTGCCTGTTACTTTTGAAGACATTCTTTTTTTTAATACATCTTATGAATGCAAGTAAACGACAGTAAACTCAGTTAGCCTTCACTTTTTTTATCTTGCCATTTAATGCTTCCGCTGATTATTACAATAACAGTCTTCTAGCATTGTTACCGTGATTTCATACCTAATAATGTCGTCATGTTTATTAACTGTGAAATATATTTGTGTATTAGCGGCATCATGATCTCTACATAAATTATAGATAAATAATAAGAAAAATTGAATTGACAATTGTATTCTATTTAATATACAGTACAATTCATAGAAAAAAAACTACACTGATTTTTATTATAAACATTGGAGATTTGTATAAATAGTTTCCATTGAAAATAGAATTTATAAATAGGAAAAGAAAAAAACAAATGTAAAGATTAAATTAAGAAGAAAACATTTGATCAAGAAGACTTCGGGATTCAGGCGTCATTGAAGATAAATCTGAATTTTGAAAAAAATCATCAAGATCAGAATTAGTTTCATGAATATTTTTTGTTTTATCATTATCAGAAGATGAAATATTAGTATCATTTTTTGTTGATAAATGTAAATAATCAATATCAATAAAATTTCCTGTTAGACGACGTTGTTCTTCATGGTATAGAGCTAAATTTTTCATAACAAACGAAATATCATCATTAATCATATTAAATAGACCAAACTTCGTAAATAGTCGTTCACGTTCCTATATACAAAGAAAAAAAAAAGGTACAATTCATTTTTAATCCGATAAGAATAACTAAATATTATTTACTTGCACCATATGTTGATCATTAAAATATTTAAGTTGTCGTTGAAATGCAAAATTAGGATCAACAAGTGTTCGTACACCACGAAGACTATTAATCGTATCCGACCATGATATACCCGTAATAGTCATTACATAAATACAAGCTATTGATGGACTTCGACTTTTCCCTTCAACACTTTAAAAAAGAAAAGTCATCATACTTTTTATTTTAAATTTATACCAATGAATAAGCACTTTGCCTTGATTAAGGCGAGCATTATGAATAAAATCATTACATTGTGCTGCATATTGTAATAAATCTTGTGATATATGATCTTGAGCTGAGATCAGAAGATATTCACGATGCTTAAAAGAAAAAATTCTTTAACATTGATACTATCGTTTTTCTTTTTATTATACTTTAAATGGACTAATAGGTTTTGCTTGAATTGAAATAATATGAGTAATACCAAATTCATCCAGTACTTTGCCTTGTCGAGCCACAATTGCACTTGTGACATAGACACCAGGTAGTATCTAAATCATTTTCAAAATCTATTTATTTTTCTTTTTTCATTTCTAAGTTATTATTACTTCACTCATTCCTTGACCCATAGTTGATATTTATTATTTTAACATCTAAAAGAAAAAACAAAACAATCAGTTCAAATATCTTGTTTTTTTTTTTATCGATTAAGAACATCTTCAAATTCTTGATCGATTTGTTGTTCAAATGGTTTATTCATATCTAAATCATCAGGAAATTTCAATTTAAGTCTTTCAAGTGTTTCATAAAAATAAGGAAATGGTCGTGCATGAAAATGAACAATTGCACGCTGTTGACGATATTTTTTTGGTAAATTAAAATCAGTCAAATGTAAATGGAGTGGACATATTATTTGTTGTCCATAGAGATCAAGTGCAATTCGAACATGTTTATTTAATTGCTATAAAATAAAATAAAAAACGTTTATTTTTTTTTTTTGCTAAAATAAAAATAAATTTATTCAACTTGTTTTGCTGGATAAATTTTATGTTTTATTGGATTAATATACATAGGAACACCGGCAACAAGTTTTACTCGATTCCAATATTTATTATCACCAAGTAATGGAGCACATTGACGTAAACAATATATTTCAACAAAATCCCATGTACCTATAGAAATCATATTCAAAATTTTTGTATTATGAAAAACAAAACAAAAAAAAAAAATAATTTGTGTAATTCTTACATGTTGTAGTTTTAAATTCAATTAAAGCAACTTTTAATTCATCATTTGTAGATAATGTTCGATGTTGAATAGTACCTGTATAAACTCGACCTTGTTTTAATGCATTTGAACTTGTATCAAATACTTCATAGGACTAAAGTTGAGAGAAAAGTTTTGTTTTTGTTTTCTTTTTGTTTTGAAAAAGTTTCTACCAAATATTGTCCATTATACATATGTCTTTCGATCATAATACGATGTGAATCTTCAAGTTTGCGTGGAATAGCTGTTGTTATACCACTAAAATTAGATCTATTTATTGAGATTATATGAATATATATTAAGAATAACCTTTTGAATAGATTTAATTACTTACTACAATGTTAAATATGGTTCTTTTAGTTTTCGAAACGAACGCATTGCTGTACATTTAATATCATCATGTAGTTTAGAGTTTTGTGTATAAATTAGTAAACCACTCGGTTCACTAAGATATATTATATAATTAGTTAATAGAACAAAAGATAAAGTTTTTATTTACTTTGGTGTTCGTAAACAAGGAAAGAAATGATCCCATTTAAGAGCCAATCGAAATTGTGGCATATGATATTGAATAGTACATGGATTAGAGTTTGTTAAACTAAATTTTTCTTCTGTTTCTTCTTCCTCATTTTGGTTATTTATATCAATTTTTCGATCCCATGTTTCATCTAAATATGATGATTAAAAAAGTGAATAATAAAAATAAATCTTATTTATACCAAGAACCATAACACCAGGTGGTTTATTACATACAAGAAGTTGTTCATCATGATATATTATATTATTTAAAATACAACTAACTAAATCTTTAGGTTGACGAATTGGATTTGCTTGAGATAAATAATGAACATAACGTTGATTCGATTGATAAAATCGAGGACTGAAAAGAAATATAGAAAATTTTGTATTATGAATTTCAGAAAATTCGAACACATTACCAATGTGATATGAAACGATATAATATATTCATATGTACGATAGATACTAATATGAAAAACTAGTAATGAATTGATCATTTAAATCAAACTAAGTTTAGTACCAATCACATGAAATCTAAAGTATGTATACTTCGCGTGACGCATGAGGTCGCTACAAGTAACACATGTGAAATAAGCAGCTTGTTTGTTTTATTTCCTTAAGACTTGACCCATATCAAGTCAAATATATTTTCAAATATTTACTAAGTGTGATAAATACATAATTAATCAACGATTCTATATTACAATACGATAAATTTTGTTTGTTTTGAATGTTTTCGGTGTTGGCGAATAAATTAAAGATTATTTAGAGAATTTAAATATAATCCAAATAAGAGAGGAGAGTGATATGTTCAAATTGATTAATAAATTGAAAGAAGAATCAAATTTCTTTCGAAGAAATTTTCAATTGAATTTATGAGTTATGAAAAACAAACAGTCAAAACACAACAATGTAGTCAAGCATTTGAGTTGAAAGAGAACACATAACAAAACTGTCTTTTGTTTGCGTCAATGTTATCGTTTGTCTTTTTTTGAATAAAATATCCTTGTTTTTCAATTTATGTCATTATATTTATTAGTAATCGTTACAATAAAACATTTTTTATGAAAATAAGAACTATCCAAAAAAAAACTATCTGTAAAAAATACAGAAAATATCGATTTTATTCTATTTTATGTAAATTGATACCATTTTCAGTTAAAATAGCAAGAGTATCATCATCAAATTGAATAGCATATTGGGGTAATGGTTTATATATAATACTTTGTTTCATATATCCCTGATTATTAACATGAATAAGACGTGCTTGAGCAACATTAACAATTAACCAACCTTTCTCATTTAATGAACAACATGATACAACATTAAGTTTTTCATTTATACTAAGTGAGATAGTCCAAAGTTGATCGAATGTTAATGTTGAACACATATCTAAACGTCTTTCACCAGTTGAATCATTTAAAATAATTAAAGCTAATAAATCTTTTGTACACTTCATATGTTCAATATATTCGTTATTTGAACAATATATTTGTTGTCGTTTCAATGAGAAATTATTTTGTATTAAAACATATTCATATATTGTTGTATTTAATTGTTGTGTAGTTAAAAATAGACTTTTATTTGAACATGCACAACAATACCAGAATGTATTTTCCTTTGATAAACTTTTGACTTGTTCAATTATCATTGTTGTTACATCTAAGGTAAAGACTCCATTTTCTGCGACTAGAATAAATTTTGAAAGTGTATTTGACATACACATATCCCATATACAGCCATATTCCCATATTACTTGTTTAATCATATTTAAATTTTTATCATACAAACATAAATTTGATTGTTGATTAATTAAGAAATATGTGGAATTATTTGCCATAACAAGAGAATCATCTGTTATTATTTTTTTTGTTAAAAACAATGATTTTATTGTTGCATGTAAATTAAAAGTAGAACGTCGTTTTTCTATTTGAATAAAATTTTCATCAAGAATTAATGGTGGAATATTTAATTGAAAATCTTCTGTTGGTATTTGTTCAATTTCACGTTTTACAGCATTTGTTGCAGCTTTTAATGAATCAATTTGTTCTTGAGTTGTATCTTGTTCACGTATAAGTTGATTAATTTTCAATTTAATCCATTCAATAACTTGACGATTTTGATTTATTGTTTCATTTTGAATAGTTTTATTGTCTAATTCTTGACATTTTTTTTCATAATATAAATCAATTGTTTGATGTGATTCATGTCGCCATTGGTCAAGTTGTTGACGATATTGACCACGAAAATATTCTGATAATTTATTTATATCATTTGTTAATTGATATAATTGAGATAAATATATATCATTGTGATCTTTTAAATGTTCAATACAGTAATTATTTTTACAACAATAACATAATACTCTCGATGTACGTGGACATTCAGATATTGTACAAGGATGTTGAGACATTTTTAAAAATTTTTTTATTTGATAGATAAAATAAAATATACAATATATTTGTTACCTTCTCACTTACTGTGAAAAATATGTAGTCTGCTGCTTGTTACTCTTCTTTTTTTTATGAAGATACTAAAATCATGCACGTCATATGAACTATAAAAATATGACGTAGTTGTTTGTCAATTATACAACAAAATACAATCAAGATGTCATCGAAAAGTCTATCTATAATTATTCAACATAATACAAATTTTGTTATAATGAGTCACTAAAAAGTCTTGATTCTGCAAAAAAACCTTCATCACAAAAGATTATTTCTTGGAAATTTTGTTCCTTTTTACTTTACGAAAAATATATGACAAACATATTGCATGATGGTATGAATAATATTTTTGACATATTGTACTTGTCATTTAAATGATCACTTCATATTTATGATAAAATCACTTGTTTATTTCCCACATTATATTTTCTTTTTTTTCCATTCGGCTTATTGATGAATCATTTTTTTTAATAAAACTCTCTTCATCATGCAAACGTATAAATGATGTTTGGTTGAGAAATGCTATGTCAACGGTTTCTATTTACCACAGGTAGAAATGTTTTGTTATTTCTGTTAAAAGTGCGTCTACGCATTATTATATTTGATTAATGACGATCTTATTTTGAAATGAGAAGAACTATAATGAGAGAGAAGTTTATTAAGATGGCCTAAGAAAAGGATTTTGAAATTATGATCTTTTAGATTATAATATCATAAAAGTATTTTGTTAATTTAATATCGAAAATATTTTTCTGGTCTTTTCTTTCAATAACTACTTCAATGACTTCGATTAATCTCACCATACTGATATCTATTTCGTTAGATATAAACTGTATTAGGTTTTGAATTTATTTTATATGCCTTTTTTTTTGAAAAAAAGGTTTCTGTGAATATCATAGATGGCATATCATCTAAAATAGAACCTTCATGACAGTTATAAACGGTTAGTATGTTCTTTGCTCAAAGTACATCATTGAAATTTGGACAATATGCACTTCAGCGATTTGACTGTTGACAATATCTGTTTTTCACTCACGAACATAGATGATTGACAGGCCATTAATGATTTTCATTTTGATCAACTTCATATGGATGATCTCTTTGTCGGTAACGTTCGTTTTAGCGATGAGGTACAAAACTTTATAAACTGTGTTTCTTAATTTAAGTGTGCTGAAGAGAGGCAAAATGTATAGAAAATATGTTACTTTCAATATACACATTTTTTACATACTTTGCTACAACAAGTAGTATGTGCTATCTCTATTATTGTCGAATACAACAACACTTTATTTTCAAGATATTTAAATGAATTTTTAGGAAGAAAAGTAGTAAATATTACTGATTCCACACAGGACACTAGAAAAATATTTGTGTCCAATTCTTCTAAAAGCCATAATCTCAGTGCAAATATTATTTTATCATAATTACCCATTCTTAGAATTATATACAAAATTTCAGCGTTTTAGTTGATGTATATCTTTGTATCTTTTTATTTATTTCAAGAATTGTAACATATTGAAACTGTCATGTTACTATGTAATTTGAAAGAAACGAAAAGAATAAATCGATGCATAAGCCCTAAATCGCTGAAATTTTGCACACTATCCTAAACATATCTTAGCATTATAAAAGAATATCTATCCTTGAAGTATGAATTTTAGAACAGTCAAATGAAAAAACTTTTCTAGAGTCCTATTCATAATTTAAGAATACTTTACGTTTTTCTGTTCTATTTTCCAACTGTGTTTACTTATAGGACAACAAAAAAGAAATAAAATGTGTTTTTACGACGCTTACCATCTTTTTTTTTATTATTTATAGGCATGGTTTGTCAAACACAAAAAAAGAGGATTTTTTTGCTTCACTTTTTTTAAAAACATGATTTACAACAAATTTGTTGTTGCATACTTTGATACACTCTGCTCATGATAAAAAACATATACAAAAACACGTTTTTTCCTTTGGATTTTCATTAGAAACGTTGATTTCGTGCACAAACAAATACAATGAAAGGTTTATGGTTATAGTATAGTGATATATCAGAATGA